TTTTTTTTTTTTTTTTTTGCAAGTTTGAAAAAATTGTGGCAGGGCAGAAAAAAGTGCAATAGGGGAGAAATGGTGTATTCATACTAACCTGGGACATTTGCTTTTGTGGTTAAAATGTAGGGAAATAATAAATTGTATTGAATTGTATGAGAGCATGATGATGATGATAAAGATAGCGCTTTCTAAGCTGCGTTTAGTGATATTTGCAGTAGTGGTTGTGCTAGAGATTCTAAGAAGCTGGTTCTGACATACCCTGGGCAGTGATGTTCTGCAGTTTCTGACTACATGGCTACTATGGGATCTTGTGGTCTTCTATTTGCACGGCATAATTCAAGACTTCATGCACTAATATGTGCTGCTTTATATTGCATTCTCAAATTTCCTTCTCCAAGTTACAGGGAAGTGTTGCTTCTGATAATTGGGCTTTTTAGAGGGGAAAGGGATATATGCATGGGTTCAATATTAATTTTCCAGTTTTGCATATAACAGCAAGACTGTTAGTTTTATATATTATTATAACCTGGCAATCAAAATTAGCATTATGCCGAAAGATTTTGACAAGTGGGACACTAATCCAAAATGTTGAGATGTGATTCTCATGGTGTATTGGGGCTGTGCTTTGCAGTACATATTCAAAGCTTTCCTGTGCTTGTACCAATATCCTGGCGTCTTGGCTCCCTTGCTTGCAAAGTAAATACTTAAAACAAATGAAGGACACATCTATATAGAACTGTTCTTCTCTGTTGAAAGGCCATAGAGAACCAACACCACCACCCACACCAGAGAAGAAGGAATCTGCCCCTGTGGCAGCATCAACACCAAAAGGTAGCTGTATTTGTGATGAAAGTGCATGGCTGATTCATGCAGAGATATTTTGTTAAGAACAGGGGATGGGGGAGGAACGTGATAGGGATAGAGAAAAGGAGTAGAAGAGATATCATGGATAGAACAAAGAATGATTGAAATTAGTTGATATTGATGATAGAAAGTTGGTTTTCTGGGAAGGGGGAAGGGTCATGGTTTCCTAATTGGGTTTTACCACATTTTTCCATCTCATAGATTAGATTGCAGTATGCGCACAGTAGTTGCTTTTATGTTGTGCTGTTGTGAATATTTGTTGCTGATGTGAAGTGTCTGCTGCTATAGTTCGCACTCCGTCGACTCCTTCAACGGGGACACCAACCACCCCGAATCGTCACCACCGACCCAGGGGGCACTCGTTTGAAACGAACATTGATGACGTCTTTGATGAAAGAGCCCCATCCACTCCCAGGTCCGCGCGTGAAACCAACATTGATGATGTTTTAGATTCTCCGCCAAAACCTAAGGCTGTCAGCACTCCGCGGAGAGCTGCTGGTAATATTGCAATGCATGTGCGGTGGCGGCTAGGGGGAAATATATTATGTATATAATCTACTTTGTTTTAATCCAACACATTTATTTACAGGACTTGTTTTCCTCTCTGTGATTGGTGATATATCAACTATTACTCAGATGTGTATTTGAAATATGCATTTAATCAGTATTTAATGATAATGTGATTAATTATGTTAGGTCTAATTTAGCTTTAAAATAAGAAGTTAATTGACTAGTCAGTAACTTATGCCCTAGATCTACAAAATAAATAATTGTCAAGATATTAACAAAGGATATCTAATAATAAAAAATTAAATTAAATATTTAATACAGTAACTTGTCTAATTAGTAACAAGATATTGATAAGACAATTAACATTAATTCAAGTAACATGGCATTGAAAAATAATACTTAAGGGTTTGTTTTTGTCATTTCTGGAATGGTGATAGGTAATTACTACTACTGTTATAATTATGAGGGAGAGGCTATTGACATGTTAAGAAACATAATCCAGTGTAGCTTCTTTATGAACATTTGTTTTATGTTTGCATTGAACATGCATTGTGTTACATTTGCATTATGTTTTATGTTGGCATATTTTATTTGTTTTGATTATTATCATTTATACATATAATGTGCTTGTGATATTGTGTTTGCCTGTATGTTGATCCTTTGCTTGGATTTCAGTAATGATTTGACTGGTAGTATCTCTTTTTATATTATAAGCAGTATCTCTTCATATTATAAGCAGTAAACTTTTCTTTAAGTAATTGATGTATAATACACCTGTATGTTGAACTCATAGTATCACCTATATAATTTCACCATAGCATGTAGATGTATTGGCATGTGACTTTTGTTGTTGTATTGCATGTATCAGAACCCCCAGCTGACTTCCAGAGGACTAGCTCTGCCAGATATCCACCCAGAAGTCCAGAGTGTAAGTGTTCACCTCCAACACTGTTTTACCCTTCTCTAATAACCTTCTAATACTTACTAAAAGCACTGTTACTGATATGGTGGTCTCTTCCTTTTCTGCAACAGTAACTGTTATTGTGGGATTAAACTGTTGTCTGTTTTGGGGGAGAACTCATTTAATGCTATGATATCAGTTTTCAGGGGCTCTGATGAAAAAAGATTACTTTAGTTTAACATAAGTGAAAAGAAAGAGAAAATGAAGAGAGAAATCACCAGTGCTATATACTTCTTTCTGTTGCTTCCTGTTCTAACCTAGACTGAACTTAGATCTATTCCTGTTTGACTTACTAACCCTCTGATGTGTTTTTTTGTTGGCAGTTGTGCGTGAAACATTACTGCTTACATGGATAGTAGATAATTAATGTTGTAGCAGCCCACCGTCTTTCTTTTGTTTACATAGTTTTATTAACTTTCATGGATTGCATGGGTTCATATTAATGATCAACTAATCACTCTCACATATTAAAAGCACACCAAAAGCAAAACTGATGTATAACATTAATAATATAACAGTATTTCCTTTAATGTTTCCTCTGATTTGAAAACAAGTCACCTATATAGACCTACATAGTGCAATTTAGTATTATCAGATGCTGTTGCTACTACTAGTTATAAAAAATGAATGTATGCTATACTAAGAAAACCATGATTAGTGTGGTACAGTGATAAAGATGGCTTAGGGCTTCAGCAGTATTTCTTCTGTATCACAATAGGTACAGGCTAAGGCTGTCTGGTATAGTACCTTCAGCTAGCTGTGTACTAGTATTTGACTGTATAGCCTATTATACTCCCTATAACAAGGTGATTGGGGACTATGTACATAAACTATATTACACACTAGGGTAAAATGCTTTTGATCATATACTGGATTGATGACAAAGCATGCCGGTGTTTTCTTACTCACTTTGATTCACTTTTCACAGTGTTCAGCAGTTAATATAGTACATATGCATTTATAAATATGTATATATATTTATATACACATATATAACCTAGTTTTGCAGTTGTGGCTTTCTTGGCTTGACGGGGCAACATTTAACAAGAAAAGCTTAATATTGTTTTTCCATTATGATTATTTTGGCAAACTTTCCTTTGCCATTAACATTTATTACACTTTAGGTCTAATTTAGAATCTAATTCGTTTTCTTTTGAAATACTCTTAACTTTATAAAGTTTTGTTTTTAATTTAGAAGGTTTTATCTACCTCTTACATTGCTTAAGTCCTAAAGTTCTGTAATGGTAATAATTAGTCTGTTTCTTTTGTATGCATGGTAATGGGCCTTGATGTAAAGTGATAATGGAATGTTCACAGTGATTTATTTTTGTAATAGACAGTTTATTTGAAACGAAGTGCTTGCCACTTTCAAATCTTTTTGCTGATTGCATGATTTTTGCATTGTGCTATAGTGGTAGAAGATTTAAAGCAAAACTTTGAGCGATCAAAGTCTGAACGCATGCCAAAGAAAAAAGGAAGAGGTAAGAGATTATTTGAAACTTGAAAAGAAGAGCAACTTGCACAAGTACTTAGTACAGTGTATTATAGACCTGCACTATTTATGAATAGAGCACTTTCTAGTAGTGAGTTTCTGCATTTTGGTTTTAATTTCATTTACTAGTCTGATATTTCATTTAGTTTGTATTCTACCTTGAATTGTATAGCATGTGACCTGAACATGTGGTTGCCATGACTGTGCATCATAGAGTTAGAACATTTTTTGTTAAAACACACACCTTGTAATAGCACACAGGTTTGTGGGCTGTGAGTTCTCAAATACCCTTAACATCACAGGTTTACCATACCTAGTATAAGCAAGTGATAAGTACCTGAGAATGATGAAGTGTTTGGATAGGGTTTGGCAAAACAACGTGTTTACTTGTAGTGGTGCCATTTGTCGGTTGCAGTGACTTATTGGGTTCATAAGGTTTGCAGTTTGGGGAAGTACATGTGCTGATGTTAATGGGAAGATAAGAAATTGTGCAGAGACGTACGGCTTCCCGAAACATTCTTTATTCATGTGTGTGCAAGTTCTTGGTGGGGAAAGCTGTCATAAGGATTGTAGTTCTATGTTGGGGCTGTAGTGCATATGGAAAGAATCAGATGTGCAAAGATAAAGGGGGAAAAATTAAAATCAATTTTAAAAAGTAAAAAAAAAATATTCTGCTAATTGTAGGTGAAGTGGAAGCTGGCTCCCCTGCCAAGTCTGACACCATGCGCTCCACAGATAGTGCTGGAGACACACTGGATGAACGCAGCAGCAAAGAGGTGAGGGCCCAATGATTGGTCATATTTATCTCTTTTCAAGTGTAGATTAATGTAGAATACATCAGCAGTACAGTTGAATTGCACTGATTTTGAGAGATTCATAGTTTTAAAGTGCTTCTCTTCCTCACTGCACACTTTCATGGTTCTGGTAATTATAGTATTATATTCCTTACATCCATGAAGCAATTCTGTTTAAAAAGTTTTATTTGAAAAAAGTTCTGGTTTGAAAATTGTTATTTTGGTATCTCAGGTTATAGGTGATATATTTTTATTTTCTTATTGTGTGGTAGACCTGAACTTGAAGGCTCTTGAAATCTTTCATTGTAGGGGTCACCAACTAAGGAACCAACAGAATCTCCTACCAAGGAGAAGAAGAAGAAAAAGAAGCTCCGACTGCCATCCTTCTCCAAGAAGAAGAAGGAAAAGAAAGAGAAGGAAAAGCACGAAAAGGCAGATAAAGAGAAACCAACTGCTCAAACAGCAACACAGTCGGCAGTGTGAGCTTCTCCTCAGCAGCCATTTATAGGGCACATTTCTACAACTGACTTTTCGCATGTGTAATATTGTTGTACATTGAAACTATGCTGAAGCCTTATTAATATCAATTTATGATCAATGTCCAGTACATATATATACATGTAAAGTTTTGGCAGCGGATGAAAAGAATAGGTGATTGATATAGATGGTCAGTGCTATGGCTAGCTTCAATGTGGGGACAGTATGGTCAGTTCAGTTTTTTTTCTGTGGGAACGGAGAAATGGATCCTAAAATATTGATGTATTTCCGGGGCCTACTTTCTTAGATACACAAGCGCAGGATTATAAAGGACTTCCAATAAGCTTTGTCCAGTGGATTTTTGCTCAAAGCATTTTAAAACCAACCTCCCCGGATTACATTAATATTTGATTATGAACATATTGCAACATATATGAAGCTAGAGCAGTGTGGCTTGTTTTTCTTCCCTTTTCTCTAGTGATGACCATGAATACAAATTGAGGGGATCGATAGAAAGGAAAAAAAGCAAGAGATTTCCTATATGCAGCTTTTATAACCAGGGGAGGATATATATATTTGTGTATGTGAAAATACCTTGCTTTTGTTAACAGTAAAACTCAGATTCCATCAGTGTATTACTACAGTTAGGATGGCTCATTCACTATCAGGAAAGATGGAAGAATTATCGTTTCGCTATTGTTGTCTGAAAAGCCGTCACCCACAGTCACCCTGGTTTGTTTCGTACATTTTTTCTTTCCATATCTACCCTGTGTGTGTGCGTGTGCAATTCCAGCAGGGCCCTGTGCATTGGCAAGAATGACAAGTTTGCAAGGAAACTGCTTGCTTATTTTTACATATTGATGGCAACAATGTTATAATTCTATGATATCAGTTTTATGTGTACTGCAGGTCTGAACAATATCAGCCACTGTATATTGGATAATCACAAAGCATTGAAAAAAATGCCTATAATTATCGATAATTGTTTATTTTTTTCCGTTTTTTATTATAAAAAAATTCTGATAATTGTTTGTATTGTGCATGCATTGTAAATGTGTACAGTAGTTTTGCTCTTCTTACACTTATAGGCTGCTTTGCAGATTAGTGGAGATATATATATATTAGTGTAGTATGGTAGATCTTAGCTCCCTTAAGATGAACTACTACTATGGTTAATTGTTAATATTTTGTATTTGGAAAAGTGTTTTTATGTAGGAGTTTGTAGCTGTGGCAACATTGATGTCATGGTTGTGGAATGTGCCAACTTACTGCTTTGTCTTTGTTTTTCCTTGAATTCTCAGTGCACTTCTTTCCAGAAGAAAATGTTTTTATGGTAGGAGATCCAAGATCTTATTACAGATAATGGGGTTTAAGATACTTTAAGCTTGCTTTAGTAGATTTTAGGTCTTTTTCACTGTTGTTTTTAATGACTGCTTTAATAGCAAATGCTTATGTTGAATGCTGATGAAAGGGAAAAATTACAGATCACATCAGTGTTTTTAGAATAATTACATGTAAATGAATTTTATTATTGAATCAATCTGCTGTATCTAAAGCAGCGTTCCATTTAAGAAATAACAATTTTAGATTTTATATTTTACCCCTACAATTTTTTTACTACATGTAGTGTTGTAAAGATGTCCCCTCAGAAATGACACTTTTCACACTTAGACCCTTTAGTTCACTGCCAGCAAAGCAAAAAAAGTGTAAGATAAATTACCAACAAGGTCATTACAGTGGAGAAATAATAAACATTGCTTAATTTTACAATGGAGCACACAGCAGGAGAGAATATATCCTCGTAACTCTATTGTTACTCATGATAGCAGTTTTGTATGTACTTTAATAAAACAAAAAAAAAAAGGACAGTCTATTCTGCTCTGTGCTCCAATGCAGTAACAATGCTTCCGACTTGCCTGGTTTGACATTGTAAATGTTGACTAAAAAGCTTCTAAGTTCATCATGCTGTGTCAATAAAAATGTGGATAACCATCCAGTGGGTTCCTTGTGTTATTTATTTTTTATAGATTAAAGTTTTAATGTAGAGGATTTTTAAAGGTACATACGAACAGCATCGGTGGAGCGTGGATTACCGGTAACACATGTAAACCCCTTCTACTAAACCCCTTCAAACATCATTTTCGGGTAAAATTAAACAATGCCTTTTGGTAATTCTCTTAGTTATACTACTTGAAACTATATGCTGGCATTTGGTTGGTTTTTGTGACAAAAAATTGACTTTGTATGTATCTTTAAAAGCACTTCCAACTGAACTGCAAAACTGGATATGGTGTAGTTTGTCAATATTGTTTTATTTCTCAAATGTGAAGCATGTTATTTATTCCCTAGGAGTGACATTCATACAAATGTTATTAACATAAATAATATACCCTATGTAGCACCTGTTTTATTAGAAAAACACAGACGTGTCCTCTGACTGCACCCAAATTCAAATTATTGAGAAATTTACAGTAATCAAAGATCTACAAAGATAATAGCCTAAACTAAATAATGAATACCTGATTAAAAAGGATTTAATATGCCTAAAAGATGTGAAGTTTGGGCCCCAACTTCTCTCTATTCTTTTTCTTGGAACTTGCCTGGAGTTTGGGCACTGTGCTTTAATTCTGCACAAGGAATTAACATTCATTTTAAATTAAGAATAAATTCTTAACAAGACATTCAGGCCTACCCAACTACCAGACTCGGCACCTAAGGATCCTGAATTAACCGGTATATCGGACCACACTACCCGTTTTCAAGGTGTGTGTCAGATCGCATTTTGGAGTATCAGCCAGAACACCGACAGGATGAGCCCTGGCATGCTCGGCTGTCACTTTGATTGGATAGTAAACGATTGTCGTAAAATCGCTATATGATTTTAAAACCGGGCGCATAAATTTGAAAGCCACCTAGATGAACCTAAGACTGCCACATTAATCTAATACAATGCAAAAAAGCCTAATCAAAAGTGGTTAAAACATTCAAACCGAATGTCGTAAAGTCCCCATATACCCCCATAGAGACAATAAAATAGAGTACTCTAAAGTAAGAGTACAGTTTCAGGTTGTTCAGCCGAGCGTGGATGAGCCCGCAGTCGTGCTACAAAATTTATTCTGGGGTATGATACTCCGAAATGCGATCTGACACACACCTTGAAAACGGGTAGCGTGGTCCGATATACCGGTTAATTCAGGATCCGTAGGTGCCGAGTCTGGTAGTTGGGTAGGCCTGACATTTATGAAAAATTATCTAAATATGACCATAAACAGATTGGTAAAATATTGAAAAAATAACTTGGATTTTCAATGACAATGAAAGCTTGTATCACAGGTTTTGCCAATACTCACCGCCGCCCCCCCCCCCCCAACTTCCTTAGTTGGAAAAAAAGGACTAAATCTCTATTTTCATCCTCAAAAAAAAAACAAAAAAAAACATTTTATCATACAAAAATTGCAAAAGTGTATAGGTTGCAGGTAGCAGAATGTCTACATTTATATTGTTTTGATTCATTTCCATGTCTAGCTCTAAATTTGCATGGCACATTTAATATTATTTAACATAATTAATTTGAATCACTAAGAAGTACAGGTACAGCTGCAGTATAAACTGCAGGCTTAAAAATGGTGCAAAAATGAGTAAAGCTAGTGTATTTACATACCCATTTTCTTATCTTGCTCCCTGTCAGGAGTCTTATTAAAAATTTAACTGGACACTAGATGGTAATGACATATGGATGGTTTCATTCATTCAACTCTGATTTCTGCTTTGTAGCAGCCACTGCCAAAATTCTTCAATAAATCAAAGTCACAAAAACTTGTGTCAGTCCTTAAAATCACCCCCATTCTTCAATATAAATGCATAGGAAGAAAACTAATATGTGTATTTAATATACTGTAATGGTCCAGCTGGCTACTAACAACATCTCTTTTTCTTTGTTGGCTCTTGTAAGTTAAGTGTGTCCTCTGAAACGATGAAAAGGGAAGTTGTAATTCCCATGTGAAAATGATGTTGCTGCCACGAAACAGATTAAAAATTTTCTTGCTTAGTGTAACAGGTTATTCTTTCTCTTATGTTAAGATTGTAAAAAAGTTAATTGTTTTATAAAAAGACTAAATGTTTTTGCCTTCAAGAGGCAATATCTAACCTTTTTTCATGTTGTTTATAAAAATGTTCTATCATCACAGTAATACTTGATGGCATAAATCATTACTCACTTTCCTGTTGTTGCTTATTTACTGGATCCATCGTATAATCTTCAGCTATTTTTAAAAATAAGTTTCCTAAGAAAGGGAAAAAAAGGAAAGATATATCATAATTTGTTTTTCAAATTATCTGTACAGAAGATCTGACTCTAGAGCAACAATTCACTTGGAATGTTTCCTTTATATCAGTATGGTAAAAAAAGTTAATTTTTTCTATACCAAACAGCAGGATTCTCAGCAAAATACATTCTTTCAATGTCACTTTTTCATTTATTCTGCACTGTGTCAGTAAAAAAAAACTAGCTCCACTTACTTATGTTTTCACCTGTTTTGGCAGATGTTTCAAATACTTTGGCTCGTATTTCTGAAAAGCACAAAACAGATTTTGTCAAGAATGCACATAACTGGTCATATATATCTATACAGTAAATGTTTGGGGCCTCTCTTACAGAAGTATCAATTATCAGTTACCACTATATATTTTCTATTTGGTCACCATTATCAATGCACCAATCACTATCATCAATGCTCCAATCAAACATTTAAAACAAAAATAAATAGAAAAATATTCTCATAAAATTTTCACATTTAAAAAAATGATACAAACAAAATATAATATTGATTCAATGGAGAGCTCACCATCAGCATAGTCTGTGACCATGTGATAATCTACTTTTCTATTATTCTTATTTTCATCAACAAGGTCCTTCTTTGTTCCACAAAGGTAAATCTTGCAGTTCTGTAAACGATTTATTGAAATCTTTGGTGACATACTAGTTATTTAAATACTCAATCCAGCATGTTCATGTTAGCCCTCACTTTGTAATCCTAAATATTAAAAGAAATGTTTGTGATTGAAAACTGTCCATAAGTATTCATAACTATTACAATAAATTTAAGATACTTTAAGTATTTATCTGATAATCATTACTAAAACATAACAAGAAATGTGCACAATTTCTGCTCTATCAACATGGCCAGACAAAGGCAAAAACAAAACTTACAGACACTTTTCATATCTGTACATAAAAAGTGCAATTTGTTACCTCTTCATTATTTCTCAATTCCTTCACCCAAAAACAAACTCTGGCAAAACTTTCTGAGTCTGTCATGTCATAGCACACTATGGCAGCTTTGGCCCCTCTATAATATATCCTACTCATTGCTTCATAGCGCTCACTACCGGCAGTGTCCTACAAATAGAAAATATGCAATACTGATTTGAACAATATTGATAAAAAGTGTGTACATAATTCAAAATTTATACAGTTAGACTTAACTATCAAGATCTATCTTGTTACCCATATATAAAATAAAGTTTTTATTGTGATCAATAGTTAATGACGTACTCTTTCTACATTATGACATTTTGCATTTGCAATGTACAATTTCACTTGTATTTCTAGCATGATTCTATTTTTATTCAAAATAACTACATGTAATAATATTTAAGGGCATCTCACCCATATTCCCAATATTAAACTTTTCCCTACAACTTCGATTCTTTTGGCACCAAAAGCAGCCCCAATGGTCTGGAATGAAACCACAAATTTCTTTTATGCTATTTGACAATATAAAATAAAAATCAAAATATTCAAACACTCAATTAATATATTGTCTATGTGACTCATTAACGTTTAAAGATTACTGATTGTGGCAAAGACACTTTAAAATGAAAAACAGGATAGTCTAAATATATTTTAAAAAATTAGAAAGGTATTTGCAATGAAGACATTTTTCCAGAATGATTTTAATAAATATTTTACAGATTTTTAGCTAGGTTTACTCACAGCCTGGTATGGGGCTTCTCCATGAAAACGGTCATGTAGGAATCTCTCCACCAGACTGGTTTTACCTCCAAACTCCTTGCCCAGGAGGACTATTTTCATATCAACTCGGCTTCCACTCATTGTCAATATTATTCACTCGTCTTATCTTTAGGTCCAGTGTAAGTGTATGACGTACGTAGTGGGAGCAGATCGGAAACTTAATGTACCGGTACTGTACAGTAGAGTCTAGTGACGTGCTATGGTCCTCTGCCAGGCGCGATGTTCAGCCCGATCGAAGTTCGCACATCTCAGTTATCTGGCTGTATTTCTGTTTAGTTGGTTACCTCTAGGCATCTGAGACAATTTTTGTCAGAAAAACATGTGTGTTGTTCCACAATAACCACAACTTATGTTGTGAGCGATGACTCAAATAAGAAACCCAACTCCTATTTGTGCATTAACGCTGATTTCAAAACACGACAACCATCTCTAAAAGTTTAGAAGGTGCGTGATCTCTTATCTCTGAAAACGTTATTAAATAGCTGCTTATTTGATAAATTGAGCTTATAACTGCCTGTATGTTAAACTGGGCATAAATTAGACTTTCAAAAACAGATGTTTACATACTGTCTCCACTCTGCAGTCGACAAAATTTATCAGACCGGAAGAGGAAGCAAGGGAGGCACTTGGCTGTATAAATGTCAAGGATTGGGAAACGTAAGTTGCGTTCTTTCCTTGCAAATGAAATCAATATTGACACAATTGACTCTTGGAAAATAACTTTGAATACTTTATTATGAAAATGTTATGACATGAATCCTTGATTATTTTATCAAATGCTTTTGTTCAGATTTTTTCAAGAACTGTAGGATTCTTGCTGGCAAGTAAACCGTAGCAAGTTTCCGGTCGCATGTTGCGTGGAAGAAAAACATGCTTCGTTGCATGCTTTGGTTATCTTCTCGCCCAGGACGTGAATAGCCACAGATTCGTTGAAGGTCACAACTGCAGCTCTTATTGAGATTTCTGGGATATATCGGACATTATTGAGACTAAAGATAACAAGGTGTTACGTTAGAGCAGGAATTACAGTACTCGACAATGAAGTGATGACCAAGATATTTGCAAGGTGCTTGGCCCTGCAAAGTGTTCTTCAGACCCAGTGGTTGTGTCCTTATATTAGGCCTAGATCAATAGTCTTCAGGCATAACCCTATCGTGGTGAGAAAAAAATTTAAGTTTTTGTTACATAAAATGAACTCGAGTGAAAAAACGTTCGAAGCATTATTTGTTGACAGTCAAGGGAATATTAACTCCTGTTGCACATTGTGATTGTAAGTAAATGTAATATATATTAATTATTGGGTCACATTATGCAGCGTTTGCCACTCGCATTCGCCATCATGCCAAATGCGAGTAAAAATTAAATCTGGCGTGTGAAATTTATGATGCAAGTCACCATTTCGGCGAGTATATTTATGTCAACTTTCTATATTAAGTGTATCGGCAAAATTTAGATTCAATAAAAGTCCGATTGACATGCCAATATTTACGGGGATGTTCAGGGAATTCCCCTAACTGCTAACCTCGTTTTTACTTTCATAAGTAATAATCGTGATTGGTTGATGTTGAGGAATTCTGTAGTGACGTATTCACAGTCTCTTTTGAAAACCCCTAGCCTTTGATTGCACAACGGAGTTTGACAAAGTACGTCTTGGAATTATGCGCAGTCGATACTTCCGGGAGAAAGCGTGCAAGTGGATCATGGAGCAGATTTGAAGATTACGAACGTCCTGTAGAAGGGACTGAGAACGTCTCAGAATCGGCATCAAGTGATGAGTAAACAAAATCAAAGCAGAAATGAACTGATGCAAGCTAACTGTCTGAGCTCTCTGACCCAAAGCATGTTTTTGACGTTCTCTAAAAATCTTTTTCTGAGCAGAGCAAAAAAAAAGTTTTTTCAAAAGCGTGAAGATTAGCAATGTGTTTAGGGTAAGAGAACTTGAATTGCCTACCTTGAGCTAATACAATACAATACAATACCATTCAAATAAAGCAATATAACGAATTTTATTTCACCTCGGATACACTTTAAATTTTAACAATCTCGTTAGCTTTACAGCTAATCACCGATTTCATCTCAGCTAGAGGGACCTACAGAGTTCAGTAATATTAATAATATTTAATTAAAGCTCATTTTAATATTTATCTTGAAACAAGTACTTCTAGAGCCTAAAATGAGTAAAACGATTGATCAAAACAGTTTTTAATTTTATCTTTATTTGCATATGACGTATAACTAACTATGCAGCATTGGTACCTGATAACATCTCAATCCTCAGTCATTACCACATGACCTGCACTTGAATATTTGGCTGGTAACTTCTTAATAAAACAGGCGAAAGTCTGGCTTGTACATTTTCAGTTTGGCCGGTAACTTTCAAAACTCACTGGCCAAATTGGCCTGTGCTATTTCAAACGAAGGTCAAACACTGATTATGAGGAAAAACATTCTTTACACTTACGTAACCTGAACAATAATTAAATTTGGAAGTCAACAGTTTTTAGTGGGAATACCCGAGATAACGAAAATTGATTTGAGGGCATGAGAAAGCACTTTGATATTAGCGCAGTACTCGGTGCAAACACCTGATAGCAAAATCCTCAAATGTGTGAAATGACAACCAGTTTGCACATGCTCGCTTCATTTTCATTAAAGTTGTTTATTCCTTTTTGTCAGGCTTTTTACTAGAAAAATGGGGCTATAATGATGGAACTTGATCTTTGTAATGTTTTATTACTATTTTTATTGCTTCAGGTAGAGCAAATCCAGCAAATGGCCAACAGTAAGTTTGAATATGTCCGCAAGTTTGAGACAGAAGACAGGTGCTTGCCAAATTGCTGGATAATAGTGAGAGTGGATGGAAAAGCTTTTCATAAGTAAGATTTCAGTTATAAGTGGAGACTAAAATTGAAATATTAAATTGAGTAAAACTGAAAATTATGTAATATCTTTTATTTGAGTAGCGTGTTACATATTACATTTATTTCTTGAGAATGAGATGCATGTGTATCATTAAGTTGTATGTGAAAGTTGTAGAAATCTTTGGATGTGCTCCTGTCAAGGAAATAACATAAAAGTATTTATAATCTTGGCATAGTTGTGTGCATTTATTTTTATTATTTTTTTTTCAGGTTTTCAGATCTTCACAAGTTTGTCAAGCCTAATGACGATCGCTCTTTGAATCTGATGACAAAGGCAGCAGAGACTATTTTACAAGAATTTGATGACATTGTTCTGGCTTATGGACAAAGTGATGAATACAGTTTTGTTTTTAAAAAAAACACAAAAACATACAACAGGAGACAAAGGTGAGATGTGATCAGGTTATATTATTAATTTAAGATGTGTTACATTGCAGTGCTTAAACTCTCTGAGTTATGTAAAGGCAAGAAAACTGGCGTTCTATAAGTTGTGGTGTTGAAGAATGCAGCAGGTTTTTTTTTTTTTTTTTTTTTTAAATCACAGTTTTCACAGTTTTGTGTATTTATGGTGATATTTAAAAATATTTATTAAGGATTATGACCCAATATTGGAGAGATATGTCACAGGAATGACCCAACTGATATCTCTTGTTCATGCCCAAGAATTCTGAAAATTATTTTAGATAAAAGTAAAAGAAAGGCATTTTGATTTTAAGATATTAAATAAGTAGGTTTCAGTGCTTTTGTTTCATCTGTGAAAAGAACACTAGACGTCTCTTTCTTTCTTTCATTTTCTGTTCCAGTAAGCTGATGACCAATATATCAAGTCTGTTTGCTGCCTCCTATGTATTCTACTGGGCAGACTTCTTTCCAGACACTAAATTGCAGTATCCACCTTCATTTGATGCCAGGGTGGTACTTTATCCTAGTGATCAAAATCTCAGAGACTACCTTAGCTGGAGGCAGGTAGATTGTGAGTATTGTTTGGCCTATAGACAACAATTTCAAAAAGGGGTTCTTTTTATTTAACAAAATGGACCTCTTTAACCTTTTAGTTGACAAATGTTTAAAAATTGCATAGATCAAATTATTTTATTATATTCTTTCATTATGTTGATTTTTATGAATATGCTAAAAATAATGACAAAAAAGGTATGGCACTTTGGGATAATTTTAGTTTTAAAATAGAAGAGAAAGTTTATGAAAATTAATAATTCTGCATGTGATTATTGTATCTGTTTCAGGTCATATTAATAACCAGTACAACACCTGCTTTTGGAACTTGGTTCAAGTTTCAGCACTGAGTCCAGCTGAGGCTCATGGCAGACTGAAGGTAAAAAAAGAATCAATGAACTGAAATATTGCCTGTAAAGCTTTTATCTGGCAGTTGTAAAACAATAGCCTAACCCACCCATCCCTCTCTCTCTCTCTCTCTCTCTCTCTCTCTCTCTCTCACCTTTGATTCAAAATTTGATGTGTTTGCTAAATACATTAATTTTAGTTGAATCTGTTTTTATGAAAGTTTACAAGGGCTGCCAAATGACAATTTGTGGCTTATATATTATACCTTGACCAGTTTTTCATTTTACTCTTAAAGATGGTCACTTAAGATTTTTTATTCTATTTCCAGGGAACTCTTGCTTCAGATAAAAATGAGTTATTATTCTCAGAATTCAACATTAACTACAATAACTTGCCTGAACTGTACAAAAAGGGAACAGTTGTTATAAAAGAACAGGTAGTTTTAAAGTATCTGTATGTGACATTTATTGATCCAACATCATGACATGACATAATTTGAGGGTTTTTTTCTATTGACTACATTTCAGACTTTCATACTGGGAATAAAAACTAATTAGAATTGATAATTTGTATCTTTTGCCAACTGAATCCGTTGTTAGATAAGTACTGTAATAGATTTAGTCAGGCTCATATGGGTCATTTGTTGAAAAATAAAATGGCGTTCTTAAGTCCATTTTTTCTCAACTTGTAAAAAAAAATTCAAAATTCAGTATTAACAGTGTTGTTATTTTCCAGGAGGTGACATCAGTACAAAGAGAAATTCCAAAGACAGATGGAAGTGGAACGGAAGAAAAGACATTTACAAAAAAACGACCAAAGCTAGTAGCTTTGAATGTTGACATTATCAGGGACACTTTCTGGAAAGATCATCCATATATTTTAGAGTCGAGTTGACACCAACAGTTTCTGCCTGGGAACAGGAGATGTTAGCACAGGATGAATATTTTATTTTTACAAATAGCATGGGTAATTGTCAGTTGTAATCAAAACGAAATGTAGGAAACCAATTCTGTTTATGTTTTATTTAGCCTGTTAAATGTGTCAAGCATGTGCTACCTTGTAAACGAATTTAAAAAAAAATCTTTTAGGTGGGTGTCGTAATCTGTATCTTTATTTAAAATGAACAGTTAGTCCATACAAAGAATAGGCTTTTTTGTAAATGCTCTCTTTGTCATGTGTTTGTTTTCTCCTCTAAAATGATTCAGGACCTTGCATGGTAGTTTGTATCTTAAGTGGGTTCAGAGCTGAAAGTCTCAAGAAAAAGATTTCTCTGATAACCTGTGGTATGTAGACTGTTAAAATTGTATCTCAAGTTTTGTTTCTTGTGGTATGTTTGATATTGACGGTATGGTGTGTGCCAATTCATGAATAATTAACAGCATTTCTTCATTGCTGTATTCAATTCCCAGGTAAAGATTACTTGAAGTCCTGTAGCCTCAATCTCTGATGAAGATACAAATTATGAAGCTGTCTTAGTAGTCAATGAAATATTTGAGTGGCAATTATTCTGAGTTTACATGTTGTTTTACTGTTATAGTTTACAGTATGGCATTCAGTTCAGAAATAGGACGAATAGAAAATTTCTTACAAAAGAAATGTGTTGTTCGTAAAGGGTCAAAGCTCTTGATGTTAGATAATTTACTAAAACAAGATTGTACCATGTAACCATTTTGATTCACACACATTATTTGGAAGCATAATTTGCATTAAGTTAAATGTCAGTTATGTTGTTGGGTATTTTGTGATTGTATAATCCACCAATAAATTAAACTTGTTTTAGGTGTTTATTTGTCATCAAATTGAATGAATTCTTAGTTGAGTAAAAGATATACACATACGAATAACTGCAAACTGAAAGTTTTTAGTAGTCCTACAGGGAAAGTTAAATGGACAAGACCTCTGTATCAAAATAAGATGAGTTTAACGATTGTCTGACAAATATTAAAAAAAAACAAAAGTACATTTGTAATGTAAAATCACTGAACAAGCATGGCCTAAAATACTCGTTAGTGTTAGTGTTACGAATGAATTAATAAAGTTTGGGGACAATAAAAGCACAATCAAAATTTTGTTTATTTTAGCTTAAACTCTGGTAGATCCTTACCAGATTCCAACTGATTAAGAGTGGTCTTTTTAAAAAAACGGTAAATGTATCTTTAAGGTAAAATGTATTCTTTCCTTTGTATCTATTTTATTTAAAATACATATTATATTTAATATTTTATTAGATCAAATAGTTATTTTGGTATACCTTTTCCTCTCAGACCTTTGCATTTAGAATTGTCCAATACATGACTATTCGGACAAATTGGAATGATGAACCTTTAAACATCGGATGCGATATTTAATTAGACAAAAAGCAGAAACTCTAATACTCTAATAAGTAATGTCCAATTAGTCTGTGCAAATGTAGTGGAGGAAACTGTATATCCCTCCGTATATCCCCCTTACTCCAAAGGAGCCAAACCTCTGCATTAACATAACAATAGACAGGTGAGCGAACTACCTGTCTAAACCAATGACATCGCTGAGAGGACACAGTATCAGGTCTTGGCGTTTTCTTTGACTTTTTTATAGCACTTGTGAGTGATCAATAAAAACATATGTCAATCAGACGCTAGCCAAAATATCCAATTTAATTAATTCTTCTATCAGATCATTTAGGCTCGCCTTTCTTTTGAAAATAATTACGGCAGAAACCATTCAATCCAAATGCACCAACCCTGATGCAATTTACATAACAATAAGTCGCTCAGCGTAATGCGAGTTCTCATCCTAGATTGCCACTTTGACAGCTGGACCCTGTAAGAAGAAGACGCAGGATACGTGTGGCGAAGTCGCAAGGCCAAACTTTCATTGAAGCAAATGTCTCTCGTAAGTAATACATTTCTTATGCAACCAAATGTTGAAAGCGTTTGTCAGTGAAACGTAGTTACGTCTAAGGTGCTCAATTCGATAGTTCGGTGTGTAACCTGTATGGCTAGGAAACCTTGTTTTGTATTCGCATTTTTGTGGAACGTTTCTTACATCAACACCTTTACAACTTTTGTTCATGTTTATGAAATTCAAGTTACCATGGGGTATCCTTACATTTCCGCGTGTTTTAAATATCATGTCGCCGGGTGGTTCTTTAGATTTGGAAAAAGCTGTACGGTGACCGTCCTTCAAATAGGCCTACTTGATGACGAGCTGTTAGACGCACATAGGAATCTGTTTTCATAGGTGTCGCATTGTAGTGCGCAGAAACTTTCACCTGTATATAGAGACATTTCATCATGTTGCTCATGATTCTATTTGAAGCTTGTCAGTAATCCACTTTAGTAACTGGTCTGCGTCAAATGGCCTTTTATTTTCACTGAGTGCCATCTTTTTGCTCCCCAATATTGTAGTTAGTATCCCCCCCACCCCATCATATCTTGTTTACATTCATGATCATAACAAATTTTGCCATTTCGATATATGACAATTTCGAACAAAAACGAAGCTTCGGCGAGCCTGTGAGCATTTGGGCACATCAACTGGATTTTAAAATCGTAACATTTGGAAATTTAAAATTAAATNCCCTGTCTAAACCAATGACATCGCTGAGAGGACACAGTATCAGGTCTTGGCGTTTTCTTTGACTAGGGGTTTTATAGCACTTGTGAGTGATCAATAAAAAACATATGTCAATCAGACGCTAGCCAAAATATCCAATTTAATTAATTCTTCTATCAGATCATTTAGGCTCGCCTTTCTTTTGAAAATAATTACGGCAGAAACCATTCAATCCAAATGCACCAACCCTGATGCAATTTACATAACAATAAGTCGCTCAGCGTAATGCGAGTTCTCATCCTAGATTGCCACTTTGACAGCTGGACCCTGTAAGAAGAAGACGCAGGATACGTGTGGCGAAGTCGCAAGGCCAAACTTTCATTGAAGCAAATGTCTCTCGTAAGTAATACATTTCTTATGCAACCAAATGTTGAAAGCGTTTGTCAGTGAAACGTAGTTACGTCTAAGGTGCTCAATTCGATAGTTCGGTGTGTAACCTGTATGGCTAGGAAACCTTGTTTTGTATTCGCATTTTTGTGGAACGTTTCTTACATCAACACCTTTACAACTTTTGTTCATGTTTATGAAATTCAAGTTACCATGGGGTATCCTTACATTTCCGCGTGTTTTAAATATCATGTCGCCGGGTGGTTCTTTAGATTTGGAAAAAGCTGTACGGTGACCGTCCTTCAAATAGGCCTACTTGATGACGAGCTGTTAGACGCACATAGGAATCTGTTTTCATAGGTGTCGCATTGTAGTTGCTCATGATTCTATTTGAAGCTTGTCAGTAATCCACTTTAGTAACTGGTCTGCGTCAAATGGCCTTTTATTTTCACTGAGTGCCATCTTTTTGCTCCCCAATATTGTAGTTAGTATCCCCCCCACCCCATCATATCTTGTTTACATTCATGATCATAACATCAAATTTTGCCATTTCGATATATGACATTTTCGAACAAAAACGAAGCTTCGGCGAGCCTGTGAGCATTTGGGCACATCAACTGGATTTTAAAATCTTAACATTTGGAAATTTAAAATTAAATTAGCGAAGTGAGGGTGGGGTTCTTACTTTTTATTAACTGTCATAATGACACAAAAATGACTTGATATCTATGGGGTATTTTGCGTTCTTCATTGTATTTTTCCTGTCCGTTCTTTTCAAAGTGTAAGAGATAACCCCCCTTTTGCAAAGCCCTTTTAATTTGATTAATTTAAATACTATTGTTCAGCCAGTGTCAATAAAAAATTCTTTCAACAATAATGAACCATTTCAATTACAGTTTATTTTGTTTTAGTTTATATTTAATCAACATGAAATAGTGGGTTGCGTTATTAACGTTATATTTTCATATTTCAGGACTGCAGTTTCCTTCGCCAACTGTATTTTAATGGGCATTCGCCTGACAGAAGCTTGCCAAGCCTCATGCTGTATTTAGGAACCGGACATGCACCTGCATATACATCTACAAACGTGCACTATGCATACACTTATTTAGTATTGATCAGCAATATAGTAAACATGATGCGTGGTATGTCTATGAGTTTCGAAAAAATTAAGCCTGTACACATTAGGCCTAAGTATTTTCATATATGCAAGTGGTACAATGAGATTGATCATGATCTTTTCCAAACAGTAGCTACGTAAGTTTTTTTTAATTTAAAGGTAAAAGTGCATTTATACCATATTGCTGGTCAAATTTCGAGAAAAATTATTCAAGTCGAGCAACTGCTAGATTACTTGTCGTTTACACTGTGGAATTCAATTCAGATGCGTCCATCGCAATTCAATATTGTTATATAAACTTGCAAAGGTCAAGCGACTTTAATTTCACCTATTCTGAATAAAATGTAAGTTTTTGATTTGATCTACGCGAGGTATAGGTACTGAAGAAAAAAATGATATTCATATGCAAGTGACTTTTATTCTTTGGTCATTTTCAGTGCTTGCTGAAAAACACGCCTTGTATAAATTAAAAGATCGAAACTTATCCAAGGTATTATGCCACGAAATGTGAACTTCAGTGAATTGTGGAACTGTTCATTTTTATATACGATTTCCTTTAAATTATTTTACCTCTAAAAGTGCATAATGATCCTCGATTACTATATCCGTGGTAGATAATATTACTAAACATCCCAGAAAAGACTATTTTTCTTTAACCAAGTTTGATTGAAATTCGGCACAAATTTTTTTAGACATTTTCCCCTTTCAAATAAAAAGTTGACCCCAGTACTGGTAGATACTTTAATTCAAATATAAATTGAAAGTGGACGGATTCCAACACGAAATTTGGCTTTATAAGTCAACATTTTAGATTTACCCGAAACTGAATTTAACAAATCGGAAAGAAAAATAATATTTATCTAATTTTTTTCTTTCTTTATTATTTGCCTTGGAGCAGAAAATTCAACTGCCTTATGCACAAAGAATGACGCACCGATTTTTCTTCAATCACCAGCTTGTATGCAAGATTTTATAAGCATCTTGAATTTCGATGTCCATCTAGTAATCTTCAGGATAGAAGCCACATTTCCTGAAAAACGTGCTCAAATATAAGGTTATAAAGATCTTTTATTATAAATTTCGACCACAAACCGTCGTATGAATATGTTACTCCAATATTACTTGAAAAGTGATGTTGTACTTTAGAACGAAATTGATGATAAATGGAAATGCAATACCTTTGCTATTATTGCACAATACAAGATGAATGTAGTTTTGTAAAATTTATAAATGTACCTGTTCAGAGTCTTTGGAAATATAAATGCTGGATTTTTTATACTGAAAAGTGTACATATCTGCATACTTTTCAAATCATTAATGGAAATAGATGTTGCATTCAATTTTTCGTTCACACAGTACAAGTAATTAATAAACATTCAAAAAGGTGCATTTAAGAATGATTTTCACATAATCATCTGAAAAAATTGCTTTTTTACAATGATTTTCCCTCCTGTTGTAATATGTTCTTCAATAAACTATACTTTAAAAAAGCTTTGTTTTATTTATAAATGTGCGCAGTGTAATCGCATTATCTTGAAAATAACTGGGGGTGAGGTTCCATTAAGTTCGAGGGTAAAAGATGTTGCAAGTTAACTTCATTTTATGGTTGATAATCGGGACGAGTCCAAAATATTCAAGGGGTGTCAGGTGGGGCGCGTCCATTCTATCTGAGGGGTGACAGGTGGGGCAAGTTNCAAGTCCATTCCATCTGAGGGGTGACAGGTGGGGCGAGTTCATTCCATTTGAGGGGTGTCAGGTGGGACGAGTCCATTCAGTTTGAGGGGTGTCAGGTTGGAAGAATTCATTCCATTTGAGGGGTGACAGGTGGGGAGGGTCCATTCAATACGAGGGGTGACAGGTGGGGGAAGTACATTATATTCAATGATTGAGAAGGGTTTCATTTGCATTGGTGGGTATATGTCAAAACAAAAGTAGTATGTTTGTATTTAGTTTATATAAAGAAATTTCACAAAGAAGTACATTTAAAAAGAAAGCTCAAAATTCAAGTACTATGTAAATTTATTTTTTATTATTTACAGAATAATAACTTTGAAAACTATATTCAATGTCAAGTGTCAAATTACAATATACTATAAAAATTCCAAGAATACAAACGCATCACATTAGCTCATGTCCATAGCTTAGTCATTTTTTCAAAGTTAAATAAAGAACTGCCCAACAAGGCTAAGGAATTAGTTGGAAAATGTTATAAATATATTTCATATTATAAATGAGAAGTAGGTTTACCTACACTTTGAAAAATTAATTCGACATACCACCAATTTAAGTGTCATGGGTAAAATCACTTCCTCTGGTTCAAAATTTTTTAAATGGCCAGATTGGATCAACTTTTGTCGTTATTTTTAGTGTATTTTTTCTATTTTCACTAATTGGCATTTATTCATAGCTTTGAACTCCTATGGGTCTGAAGTCCTAAACTAGTACATGTAACAGTGGTACATTATTTAAAATAATTTGAAGTGATTATGCTGTTAAACATTATGTAATACTGCAGCAAGACGTTTTGCACACTTTCATTATTGTTCATCATTTTAGAAAAAAATCTGTGTTGACTTTTATAGTTATCTGTGTGAAAGCCATTCTAATGTTTGTGCTTTTGCTTTTTTTTAAATTTATGTCCGATTTCACTTTCCAAAAAAGTTTGACATACAAAAGCAAAGAGTTTCGTTTTACTCATCCATTTTCTACAACTTGGGCACCCTCAAACATCTTCATAATCGTTACTCCCACCCCAGAAACTCCTAGGTATGTCCTTTGTATGCAACGCCGGAACTCAAAATTCTACACTTTGCCTTACATTGTTTGTACAAATTTTATGCATTTCACTTTAAATTCATTTAACATTGTTCGTCTGAAGTGCAATGACCAAAATTCTACCGACAATAGGGAAGCATCAAATATTTTTGATTGTTACAGAGAGGCCATTTCTTAACCAAATTTTCAATATACTTCAATTTGTGACAAAACGTGGTAAAGATAATAAATCATCATTTCAGTAATTTTATCACCCGTGAATGATGCTCAAATTTATTTGATTTCTTAAGCGAGGCCTTTCACCTTGCCCTGTACAAATATAGAGAGCACTGTTCGACGCAAGTCATAATTAGTGGTTATGCAATGCCAAGGTGATGCTGGGGCTCATTTCCATTTCATATGATTGTGCTGAAGTACATTTCTATTTCTGACTTTTCCTGCAAAATTCGATAAAATTCAGATAAATTTTATTTTATTTTCTTTTCCTATTTCAGAGAAGTGTTGGAACATAATCTAAAACCAAACGCAAATAATATACCCTATGTAAAATGTTGACACAGGAAATAGAGAGATTCATCAATAGCAAGGTAAAAAACCAAGAGACCAAACATGTCTTCAGTGGAAACGGATCCCTCAATGAGTGACTTATATTCAGTATCTGCAAAGAAACATGGAATAATCAGTTAAAAAAAGAGAGAGAAGTACATAAGTTGCAATCGAATGGTATGTAAAGCAATGGTTAAGGTAAGAAGTGAATTAAAATTTAAAAATCTGCCTGCTTAAACTAATAAGAAATTACCAAAATGTTTTTTTAATGATTATGATTAAATTTAAAAATGGCTTTTAAAGTCCATTTATGTCTTTTTAATCTAGTTTTGTTAACTTTACGTGTTAACGTCGGTGTAAACACAAACTAGGGTACTCACAAGTGGTGCTCATGCCGGTTGTATACATAGGATTCCATATGCAAATAACACTGTCCAGACTGTCCTCATTGTAGTTTTCCTCCACGCATCAAAAAGTGGCTGAAAAAAAAGAAATAGTAAAAACAAAATAAAAAAACTACCAAAATGATTAAAATAATCCTTTAAGTTTCAAATGAGTAGTTGTGATAGATGTACAAGTGACACATTTACTGCAATATTTTTAAAAAATTAAAAATTAAAAAATAAGTCTGATAAGTCGTTGAAGGATTATTCTGGACTACACCCCTGACTTGGTCACTCTACTAATCGACTTTTTATTAAAAAGACCTGTTTATGAAAAGCAGAGGTTTTCAATTATATATTTTGGCGGAATATATGGCCTTTATGTGGTCCACACGTGAATATTGCACTTTCACAAATTGTAAGAAAAAGGCATAAATGTCAGCAATAAACAGATCCAGTGAATTACTTGTCTTTATTTCTTCGTTATTATAGCCCTTGCGCAGTATCCCCTTGAAGCCCGTGAAGCTCAGCTTGTTTTATGATTAAAACACAAAATAAAAGACATCTTGGATCCAACAAGATTTTATTAGGTCCTTTAGTAGACATTAACCATGTGCTCTAACCAAGTAAATGGATGTAATCATATGCTTTGACCATGAACACATTTGAATTCGAAGAGAAATTCTACAAGATAAAGGTGTCGACTTTTCAGTAAAAAGAAAATAAATTTTACCATTGGTAAGCACGACACGACGTCAATATTTAAGTCTTTAGACTTAAATATTTTCAAATTTAAAATTTGTAAAGGAAACAGTAATGTAAAATCTGCCAAAGAGCTTTACAATGGCGGGAGATGCATTGAGGAAAACGAGGTTTCAAAATTGATCTTAAAATAAGTTTTGGCTGAAAGCGTCATCTGTCCTTTGCACGAATTATTTACGAAATATGTCCAGAAATTGTTTGGAAACGTTTTGCTGATCGTTACTCTTGGTCTTATTTCCGACTGGTGTAAAAATGTACGATAATAGACTATTTTGACATAATGCCCAGAATATGTGTTCTATTCGTTACAATAGCTTATTATATGGAACAAAAGGAGAGTAAAACTAGTGAACAGCATGAAAGGCCTAACACTGAGGCAAGAATGAATGTCTTACATGTACAATTGGGTCTACATCACATGTTATTACTCGAGATACAAACATTATCATTACCAGGATTATTGTACTTTCATGTCATAAGTATGAAACAGACAGTATTACTTACAACATACTTTCGGTAGTACAAATAACACTCTTTGGTAAAATAAGCGCCCATATGGAAGGGGAAGCCATGCTATCCAACAAGAATCTTCTTCGCCGCCTGCAGTGGGTGCAGCTTTAGTACCTACTGAGTACCGCTCACGTAATGGTCACCTGTCCGACCTGCTTTGCATAATAATAATAACACTCAGTCCGCATTTCTTCGGTATGAGGCTAACCAGAAATGACCAATTTGGATGTTCCTATTCCGTTTATGCACAAAAGAAATGACATTATTGCTCTCTATCTTATTAAATATTGGTTCTTTGTTATACGAAGTCCAAGTCTGAGGCTTAGCTGCGTGTCTTTTTAAAAGAATTTATATTCACATTATTATTTCAGCGGGATTATTTTGCGTCTGAGTGCACATTGAGTGTAGTTTAGTCGGTTCTCTCTGTCTCTAATCTATCTATTTATCTATTTTACAGCACTAAGCACATGGTACAAAATAAAAGAAAAGTGAGACTCAATCGCAGTTGTTTTATAATCTAGATATAAAATAAAACCCAAACTCGAAATTAAAGATGCACGGAGTGTGGTTTTCCCTCTAGAGAATTCATACTTAACGTATTTTCCTGGGGCAATCAGTGATTTTCTTCCACGTAACCTAATTAGATCCTTCATTTTTTTAAAATTCCGAAATAACTTTGAAAACTGACGTCCGGGTTGTGTGACAGGTGGCGACATTCGTCAGGAGGTGATTTTAGAATTTAAAAATTTTGATGACATTATAATGAATTAAAATTCAAAGAATACCATCTGTTAAAATGTTCAAATAATATTATTTGTCCACAGACCAGGTTGACAATAGTGGTTAACACGTGGTTAAAACCTTACTCTTTATCTCCGTAAATAAAATAGCATTTGAAATCTAAAATGTCTCAATGAGATGATAAATACTACTATCAGTCGAAATTCTAATATTAATGGGCTTATTGACTAGAGGATAAAAGAGAAAGTTTTTATCATTATGATTTAGCTCTTCATTTACTTAATTTCATTTTTATTTTTATTTTTGTACCCTTTAAAAAATAATAACAACATTTCTTTTTATTTGTGACGTCAAACTTAACGCTTTCTACGACACAAGAAAGCTGTTGCGTCACTAAGCCGCGGCTTGCGTTACCATAACACTGTTCAAACCCGCAGTATATTCACGCGTATTGCAGTGCAGCAGTGAGAAAAAAATTCAGAGATTGTTTACAATGCTTACCTTATCTAGACTTCAAACTGAGTTGGATGACAGGGCAGCTACGCCAGCCCCGGTTAGTGTTTTCTTTTTCATAATATCAATTAACCGCTGTGTATGTTACGATTTTTAAAGTTGCCCTGGCGTATGAGGATGTATGCTTTATAAAAGCATTCATGTTAAACTGTTCGGCATTCGATAGCGGAATTTCATCACAAAACGTCATCATACAAAAATATAAAAACTGAACCGTACAGTGTTATGTAAATTTTGAATGAAATTCAATAAAATTTGACCAATATCGAAATGTGCTTACTCCCTTTTCTTTCAGGCGCAGCCAAGTTTTTGGAAAGAGTTTAGGCGACGTATGAGATATCTGTTTTGTTGTGGTGCAAACAACAACCGTCTTGAGCCAGATTTTACTGACCTTAATGAAGTCTATGTTCCTAAAATGTATCCAGACTGGTTGCCGCTGGAGCAAAACCAAAGATATCAGAATAACAAGCAGCGCCTTTATCAAGCAGTAAGTACAACACAAAAAATACTTCTCCCCGCTCTCATTCACCTCCTCTCTCTCACAGGCACGCGCGCGCGAAAAAATTACGACACCTTTTCTAAGTCATCTTCTTTTCTTTTTGTAAAAACCGTTGACATCTCTTATCAACTTGAAAAACAGCAGATATTATTATTATTATTATTATTATTATTATTATTCCAGGCATATGAGAACATATGCCCAGCAGATCACATAGTCCCAGAAAGAGACAAGCGTGGAGAGTTGGTTCAAATAGGCAGTGGTCGTTATGGAACTGTGTTTCTGGCTAGATATAAACCGACTGGAGATTATGTCGCTGTGAAGAGATTCAAAAGAAACAAGTCATCTGAGATACACATTCGCAGAGAAGCAGCCTTTCTCGACATCCTACAAGAAACCAAATTGTGCCCAAAGTTCTACGGCATACTTGAAGAGAAGCGTCAAAGCACCAGCAAGTTTGCCAACCTATCTATTGTTATGGAGCTGGTGCGACTCAAGGAAAACACAAAACAGTGTTTTAACTTGAAGAGTTTCGTGCAGACCCAGTTTGCTCGTGGTGGCTTGACGACCAAAGACTGGTTTAACTTCAATATAGAGCTGGCGCAAGGTCTCATGGAAGTCCACGAGGTAAGGTGGAGTTTGAAAAATACATTTATCAAATGTTTTACACCAAGGGATATTTTGCAGTTAATACGAAAACGAATATTTCACCTACTATGTTGTTGGTGATAATTCGATAATTTTTCCTTTCAGCGTGGCATTTGCATCCTAAACCTGAAGGATGAAAATATAATGGTGTCAAGGGACAGCGAGGGCGCCATTCACCCACGACTGGTAGACCTTGGCGGCGTCGTGCTATTGGACGACGACAATCCTATCGTGCCACCGCAGACATTCACAGAGAGGAAGTTGAATATTTTCAACAAAAAGCGACCTAGTCTGGCCCCTGAGTTATTTAAATCCAGTAAACCTACTGCACAGATAGACATTTTCAGTCTTGGATGTATCTTTGAAGATCTCGGAAAACGAGAGATGATGTGCGATTTGACGGAGCTCGCCCTGTGGTGTACGACTAGCGATCCTTCCCTGCGTCCAACGTTGGCTGTTATTGTGAAAGAGTTGGGTGAGCTTGCGGTTAAACTTTGACATTAAGATAAAAAACATCACGATCAGAGACAGGTGTGTGGAGCCAAACCGGTGTTCCGGAAGGAGCTCGCCCTCTGGTGTACGACCAACGATCCTTCCTTTGCGGAAGGACGTATATTGAATAATATACGTCCTTGCTTTGCGTAAGATAAGAACACTAGACCTACCATCTTTATCGTCATCATCATCATAATCAGTGTGTGTAAGGAGCAGGAGACCGATGTTCAATGATTGTAAATTTTATTTTATTTATTTATTTATTATTATTATTATTATTTTGCATTAATAGCCAGGCAAACACTCCGAGAAAGCTACTTACTGTTTTTCATAACAAATAATACAATGACATAGGCCTTCACATATAGAGGGCCGGCTGAGGTTCACTACTGTTGGATTCAAAAATTCTAACTCTCTCCACACTTCTATAGATATTTTACAAAATGTATATATACTGTAAATAACTGTTATCTGGTAAAATCATACTTAATCTTTTTGGTTGTAACCAAAAGCAACTTTCAGTTTGTTTTGACAACAGATAGGCCCCTACGAAATTATATTCAGTAATCTAAACTTCATGTTTTTTCCAGTGTTTCATCTGTAAATCATTGGTATCTTGTACAAGTTAATAAAATATTCTTTTTTCTTTGCTAAATTGCTTGTCTAAAATACCTCTGTAAAGATAAGACATGCAAGTAGGAAATGGCGGGAGAGACCAAGTTGAATATTATGAAATATCAAAATTAGAATTTTGCCTAGTGTTGACGTGTTTTCCCCCGAAGATTTAGGCCTAAAAGTTAAAAATATCGTTGAAAATATCCCATGCCAGAGTCATAATTTCTATATCCACATATTCCACAAAGATACTCTCCCTTGAAAAACGATAAAAACCTCTCAAAAAAAAAGTAGGCCTACCCGATGACGTAGGCCTAGGCCTACAATAGGGCCTACGCATTTTCTTGTGAAGGATCCTTTACAGCTAGGAAGAAATGGCGGCATCATTTGACTACCCGCATACCGTGAAATGACTGGCCAGGCATTTAAGACGAAATCGTTTAATAAGAAATGGTATAAAACGTCAAATCGAAAACATTAATTATTAGAAATGGTAGGGCCTATAAAACATCGAATCCAGTAGGCCTACCTCTTCACAGCGACGATATCTCCAGTCGGTTTATATCTGGCCAGGAACATAACTATCAATGATTCCTGAGTAAGAGGAATTGGTTTTTATTCGAGGAAAATTCAATTTGTTGGGAAAATCCCAGACAGGATTCTTGTAGGCCTAGCCTGCATGTAGGCCTGGGCCTACTTATTTTACCCTGAGTGTCAGAGAAACGTAAAAGCTAGCTTGCTAAATATACCTCGTGGTGGAGTCGCTTTTACGGTATTGTTGATATGGGTTATATATATGAAATCAAGATCGAGCTGACAATACCGGAATCTAGAACCTAGGGTAACTTATTTAAATGTTTTGAAAATATAAAATGGGACTTACTTATATAAGACCTATAAGACCTACATGTAGCTTTTCTCTGGTATGAGATAGGCCTATTCTACCCAGAAATATTATTTTTGTATGATGTTAGTGTCCTCTATATAGGCCTAGGTCTATGAAGCTAAGCGCGATTTGCAAGCTTTTTTCTTTTTTTGTTATAGGCCTAAGATTTGGGTGCACATTTCAAACACACAAATGAAAAGTAAATGAAGGAATTCAAAGGACTGGTCTAATATCCAGAAGCAAAGAATCATGTAATGATAATCACACGGAAGATAGATCTTGGGTAGGCCTAGATTTTACACAGAGTTAAATTTCATAACCCGCGCGCCTTCCTTTCCTTGACCTGACCTTGACAACGGTGGAGTTACCGTTGTCAAGGAATGACGTATAGTCACGTGATATAAATTAAACATGGCGGTTGCTGTATAATCCATAAACACTCGGCTTATAAATGTTTAATTAAAAGCTGTTGTGCTGTATTACTGCACAGTTCAGTAAATATGATGTAAGTAGGTATTTTAAATATTGGCTTTTATATCCTTTGAGGTGCAGAAATGCTATCACAAAGGAACGTTTTGATCACGTTTTACATCGATTTTGAAGCTAATCAGACTTGGATTGTATATTCGTGATCGTTTAATACTAATATACACGTACTAGTAATATTACCCTGTTATATTATTTACTAAACTAAGCTTGTGACATGGGTGCAAAATATAGCATATGGATATGCATCCAGTTTAATAAATGTGGTAAAACGAATGATTTTTACTAAAGTTTCATTGAGGTTTTTCACCTGAATGCTGTAAGTCATATTCCATTACTTTAATTTTAAACAAAGTCAACCTGACACTGTCAGTGACCAAATACAATAATTATCTGCTATTTTGACAATGAGTGTATCATATTTATAAGCCAAATGACTAATTTTACCGGTACGTACAGAGTAAAACATAAACATGTAAAGTACACTTAAGTTTAATTCATTTTTCATATATTTATCTTGCTGAAGTTACATGTACTCTGCAACCAGAACTTACAAATGATAAATAACAGAGGAAGGACTTAAAATGCATATTTATATTGGACAGTAGTGATACGCACAACCATTTTATAAAAAAATAATTATTCCATTGAATGTATTATTTTAATTTCAAGGGGACATGATAGTCACAGGTAATTAGGAGTCAACTGAAGTGATCAAGATGCCTGTAACAGATCAAGGTGGAAACCCCAGACTGCAGACCAGTCTTGGCTCACTCCTTGATAGAAGTGGAGGTAGGCAGACTACTATATGTCAGGGTGGCCATTTTTCCTCTTATACGCTAATTTCCTTTTTATCTACAAATATTTATTCAATAATATGGTAAGCAAGTAGGGGTGAAAGAAATGACAATTATTAGTTTTATTCCCTGTCATAGGTGTTTACAATGCTAAACTAGCACAACCTGTCTTAGCTACAGCAGTTATAACTTTTCTATCTGCTTTTCTGATCATCATCATCAGTGTTATTGTAAGTTAAATCAATTGTCAAAAGTTTACATGTCCCCATTCATTTGTATTACAATCCTTGGCACCTAAGACTAAATAACTGGCCAGTGTTTGTAGTGGCTAACAGGTATTACATGTATCACTTGCAAAGGTTATATTCTTTAAACAAAGTCATGAAGAATATATTTTAAGAATGTCTGACTTAGTGTTTGAATTTGTATTATTATAGACACTTCTGGAAGTCATACCCTGATGAAGCACATGTCAATGGTGCCCTATGCACATCAGTTGAGTGAAAGCCGTATGTCAGGCAGGAGTGGAGATACAGGAAAAAACAAGAAGAGAAGGAAAAAGAGAAACCCTGTGACAGCTAATTTAGCTGGAACCAGATATGAAGTTGGTCAGTTTATGTGCTACTGTTTGAAGTATAGCCACACTTTTTTTCCGTAAAAGAATGTTATTGATAGTTGTGAGAAAAAAGGTAGAGAAAGAAAGAAAGTGAGAAAGAAAGAAGAGAAAACGTTATGCAATACATACTGACAAAATGAAATAAAAAAAAAATAGAAAAGGAAAAAAAATTGGAAAGAAAGAAAAGGAAAAATGCTATATAATACCAACTGACTGAATGGACCGAAAAATGCAAAGTCATAAAAACAGTGTTATTCCCTTTTCCATCATTATGTGAAAAACAATGAATTATTTTCTTTTTTGTTTATAGTGAGGGAAATGGTTGAGAAGAATGGTTTTCATGTTAGCAGAGATGATGACCCTAACAGGTACACATAATTATTTCCACTGTGGTGATATTTACTGAAATCAACAGTGTACTACAACTTGTAAATGCTCTCTGTCATACTCTTGTGATACTATTATGATAATTGATTAAAATAAAAACTAGCCAGCTACTGTAAAACATCCCTTTCTGTTTTTATTTCCAGCTTTCTTTTATGGTTTGATAGTTTTGTATCCACAGAGAAAATTTCGGAATTGAAGGTTTTCCAAAGGATAAACCATTTCCCTGGAATGGGAGAAATTACCAGGAAAGACAGCTTGGCCAGGAACATGGCAAAGTAAGTTGTTGGTTGAGATAAGATGTATGAAGATGAAAAGCAAAAGTGATATCAAAATTACTGGATTACGGAATAAGAAATTTGCAGTAGACAATTTGGTATATTGTGACGAGTATATTTTTAAATTCAGCTGTTAAACTACAATAACAATTATATACTAATTGTTAATGTAATTTTTTTTAATGAATTGATAAGATTTGGCAAGTGGAAATTTTTTACCTTGGTATTGCAAGTTATTTCATCTTTTAGCAATATCAAGTATAAATGTGGGACTGTGTAGAAAGGGAGATTGTTTGTTTTTCTTTTTGATCTTTTCATAAGATTTTTCAAAAATGTTTTACTTAGTTGAAGAATTCAAATGGTTTTAAATGATATTTTTTTTTAAGTTATGATTTTTTTCTTAATTTCATTCCTTTTATGTGAATGATAAAGTAAAAATAAAAAAAAAACATAATTTGGGTAAATTTGTTTTCAGAATGTGCAAGCTTCATCCTGATGAATATAATTTTGTGCCAAAGACATGGATCCTACCGGCAGATTATTCAGTTCTGCAAAATTACGCCAAAGATCTTAAAGCCAAGAAAAAACATCGGACATTTATTGTGAAGCCATCAACTGGGGCCCAGGGTCATGGGTAAGTGGTTGATAAACTAAAGCACAGAGTTTACCCCTTCATTTTACAGTTTTGCAGACTCCCAATATTAAAGACCTTTTATTTGAACCTACCATTTTTTCCTATGATAATGAAATAGATATTACCCTGCATGTTTCCTGTACATTCTTGGTAATTTGATTCAAGTGCATAATAACTTTAAGTTTGAGCTCATTAATTCAATGAGAGACCCAGTAAACAGTTACCATATCACATTATCAATTTGATATAACTATTTCCAGGATTTCACTGTATAAAAATGCAGAGAAGATTCCTCAGAGTGAACATTTCATTGTACAAGAGTATCTTGACAAGCCCTACCTCCTGGATGGGTATAAATTTGATCTCCGGATTTATGTGCTGATGACCTCCTGTGATCCACTAAGAATCTTCTTGTTTAATGATGGTCTGGTCAGGCTTAGCACAGAGAAATACATTCCTCCTCATGATTCAAACATAGTAAGTATTGATATTTTAATATTAAAGCTTAGATTTTATCACATTAGAGATTTCAAAGAATATTACACACTCAAACTGCATGATCAATATGTAAAAATAATAATAAAGAAAAGCAATTTGTATATATAATATGTAATTTATAGAAGTAAATTTTGACACTCGATGTGAAAATGGTTAATCATGGTGATTTATTGCATCTTTAATGTATTGTCATTTACAATAAATTGTGATGAAAATGTGTTACAAACTATTTTTTGTTCAGGGAAAAATGTTCTAAACTTTTTTTTTCTTTTTGCAGGATTCATTATTCATGCATTTGACCAACTACTCTTTGAACAAGCACAGTGAGAATTACGAAAAAGATCAGAATGAGGATACAGGAAGCAAGAGAACAATTAGATATCTCAATGAATATCTACGGAAAGAGGACAAAGATGTGGCCTGGCTATGGAAGAATATTTCTGATGTGATTATAAAGACACTTATTGTGGCAGAGCCTCATATTCTTCATGCCTATAGAATGTGTAGACCCGGGCAACAGGCAGGATCTGACAGTGTGTGCTTTGAGATTTTAGGGTTTGACATTTTCCTGGACAGGAAACTAAAGCCTTGGCTTTTAGAAGTAAGTGCACTGGCTAGGGTCATTATTAATGCTCAACAGGACTAATTAATTAACAATATCTTTGTATCATAGTTTTGATTACATGTCACATTTTTTGTCAAATTAGATAAAGATGATTTTATTTTTAACAATGATACAGTATTTTATAATGGTTAGCATTAGAAGGCAAGACTGATACCCTGCAATTTTTGCAAAAGTTCAGTTTACAGTTTAGGTGGAATCGGTAAAATATGGCTATGATCAAAACTTTCTGTTTGTTTTTTTTTCAGTAAATAAATAAATAAAATAATTCATTAATTAAAAAAGGCAGAGTTAACATTTTTACCTTGTTTTTGTAATTTAAAGAACAATTATTCCTACACTGTTAGTGCATACTTAATATTCATCAGTAAAAAGTGAAATTAACAACAATAACAATAAAAAAGGAATTTTCACAATTTACATTTCACTGTCTTTGTACTTTGCAGATCAACCGTTCTCCCAGCTTTGGTACAGATGAGGCTCTGGATTACAGGATCAAGTCTGGCCTACTGGAGGACACACTGAGACTGCTCAATGTCAAGTAAGGGAGGGTGCTGCATGTATTTCACTTAACCCGTTGATCAATTCACATATTATTTTATTTATCTTTGCAATCTGATTATTATATTCCTATTAAATTAGTTCATAGGAGACCTTTATGAAAATAACTTTGATGCTCATATTACATGTGATCATACACATATATGTTTTAATGGCTCCAAAACTTAACCAAAAAGTTTTATTGAATCATTATTTTAGGTATTTTCTATTAACTTTTTAAAGGCAAGAAAAATTATATTCTTCCATTTAGGGCTAGTGATAAACGTAAGAACCTGGCAGCTCAGAAAGCAGAATCCCAGAAGAGACTCTTCCAACAGCCCAGCAGAAAGTCTGATATCATGGATTTGAGTGATCTGGAAAAGAAAAAATTATCAACAGAGAGAAGAAAAGAAGAATTGGTTAGTAATGACACTATTAGATAATAGAGAATAAGCCTCCAAATACTGTATATAAAAATGTTTTTCATACCATAATGTACCTTGAATTTATGTAAAAATACAATTTACCATTAAAGGTAGACTCTCAGGCCGTAGCATACAGGGGAGATAGTAATATATTTGCTGTAGTCTTGAGTGAAGAGAAGCCAAATTTTGAGAAAATTAAAAGCTGGCATAACTGAAGTTAAATATCACATAGATATACACATTCACAACGACAACCTTGCCTCTTCCAGAAAGGACTTCTCAGCAGAATCAGGAAGGATGCAACAAGGGAAGATTTCGAGAACAGAAACTGTGGTCGTTTTCGAAGAATATTTCCTCCTGATGACAAATTCCATGCTGACAAGTTCACTAATCTCCTAACCAGTGCATTCAGTACCTTCCTGTCAGGGAAAGCTACTACGCTGACTAAGGAGATCGAGAGGACATATAACAACAAGCTAAAGGTATATAGAAGTACATGTGAAGCTGGTTTGATCTGTATATGTATGTATGTGTATAAATATAGGTAGGTGAAAGATAACTCTCTTTGGGAGTTTTGTGCCTGTAATGTTGAGTATAACATTATACCAGTTAGCTATCACTGTTGTAAGTGGCAGCGTAAACCAAAAAAAAAAAAAAAAAGAAAAATTAATATAAAGTTAATAATCATAGCCAGAGTACAATTTTTTCCCAATTATATCTTTCATTTTTGCACATTTGATTCATTTGTATTAAGTAGCTTTTGCAGATGTTGTAGTAGATTTTTTATTTGCAAATTTTAGATTCCATCATTAGTCGGTACGGACTTGACGGTTAGTTGCTTGCATACTGAATTTCTTGTTTATTTGCTTATTCTTTTATTCCAGCATGCTGGTATCAGATTTATTTATTTATTTATTTTTGTGTGATTATGAGGATGCATGCAATTTAATTTATATAGAATTGACTTATATATTTGCTCTACCTTTAAGTGCATGTGTCTATTTACATACAGTGTATTACACATGAAATTTATAGGTGCATACAAATGTCTTCACTTCTAGAATTTATATTTCGTAATGTTGTGCGAATATATATTTCCCATTGTGTCATGACCAAGGTTCAAATGTTTGTTTGTAAGTGCATGATATGAACAGCCTGCATGTAAAAGACATCAGCTAAAATATTTGGAATATAAATGTAAAACTTATCAGTATTAACATGGCAGATATGCTTACCTGCTCCACAGCACATAACTGATGAGTAAAACTTATTCTCAGCATTATTCAAATGTTTGTAACACTTTTTTCATATAGTGTATTCATGCATTCTTTTCAATCTTATTATTTGTTTTTCTAACAGAAATAGATGTGTAAATTAATTTATCAATATCTGTATGCTGCCAGAAAGAGAAAGAAATAAAGAAAGATAAAAAAAAAGAAATAATAGGCCTACCACCAATATCAGTAATTATAAATGCTGTCCAGACAAATAGTGCTCAGGTGTTATGTTGATGAATTGAGGTTCATGTATAGAGAAATAGTATGAATATAACTATTACAACCGTGTGTGAACCATTTCATATTCATACATTTCCAGGAGGCAGATATTTTGGACATGTTGGCTCAGTGTGAGGCAGATGAGAAGGAAGGAAGGATAATGCCACAGAGCAGACAGAGGGGACCTGCGGTAAGTTGTTTCACTTTTGTAATTATTCAGACTCTTAAGTTCTTTAATAAGAATTGATGTCTTTTTTTTGTGAATATGTGGAGAAATATATTGTACTAGTACAAAATCTTAAACCTGCTTTTGTGAAGGTTTTGAAAAAAATTCAGAAATACAAAATTTGTGAAACAATTTGTCCTAGTACAAAATCTTTTTAATTTTTAAGAAGTAAATTGCTTTAGTGAAAGAAAAAACGTGAATAACAGATAATTTCAACTAAAAATCCATTTGGCAATAGTAATTAATATGTCAGCACAAAGTAATGTTTTATCTTTTTATTAGATATTACATTACATCCTGTGTTTGTAGTATAGATTTGGCGCAAATAACAATAATTGTTGATGTAGTTTAGAGTAGAACTCAAAGTTGACTTACAATTATTTTGTCTAAAAAGTAACTGGTAATGACTTAACAGTATTTATATGGTTTATTATTGGTAACCTTTAGTGAAATATGTAGATTAAATCTTATATATTACTCATATATTATAGATAATTGGAACATTGTGTTATCGCACAGGAAGCTTGGCAAGCATATTTTATTTTATATTTATTTGCTGTGGCCGTTGAAATGCCAGCTTTTTCACAAATTCACAAATATTAACATTCCCCTGATATGTTTTGTCTGCATGGAATAAATTCACTAATTTTACTGTGTTTTTATACTCATGGATATGAAATATATATAAGCATTCTGATTTAAGAACCAAAAATCAACAAAATTTCACCTTTTATTTTAAATTATTTGGAAGCGCAGCTACAATATCAATCACCAGGCACATTCACATTCATTTTCCATCTTTAGAAGTCACTCATGAAATGTCTTCACGTGTGCTTCACTTGAGCATTAGTAAATTTGTAATATGAGTGGGGGAGGAGGAGGCTCAATTAGGACTTCACTTAGTTAAACTTATTAAAATTTTAAAAGCATGACTTATTTTACCAGATTACCAAAGTTCATAGTGGCTACACCCTTTTTTAAACCTACTGGTAGTGTTAAGAATACATGTCCTCTGGTGTGGTCAGTTTGGCAGTTTATGGTCAGTAGGGCAGCTTGAGAGTCAATCTGCTTCTGTGAGACATTCAATATCATCTCAGAATATCACATTGAATGCATTGTTTACAGTATAACAGCATAATTGTCACCTTGAGAGGTGCTTAATTTGTCACCAATTCACTGCTATCATGTTATTGCTTGTAAATCTTTGTGTCACAGAAATCATATTTGCTTTATGACTGTATTTTTGTCAGACGTGCCTTATTTAAAAAAAATGCATGGAGTATTATTATTATTATTATTATTATTAACTGTTATTATTGTTCATATTTTAGATATGTTAGATGGATTTACATGAATAGAGCAATGATTAATTAGTACTCCTATTGTTTTTTGTTTTTTATGCACATATTAAACCAACTATTCTTTACATGGTGTGAATATGATAACCGTAATTTCTTTGCCTTAAAATGATTTTTTAAATATGTATTTAGCTAAGCTAGTGTGTAGTAATTCAGCTTAGATTTGTGGCTAATTTAATACATATTAAGTGTGAAATTGTTCTCTTAGCACAAGCAGTGAAAAAAGTTTACAACATTTGCTTGAATTGGTGACCTTCCCAAACACAATGATAAGACTGCCATCCTTATTGGGAAAGCACAAAGCAAACAGAAGGAGTTGAATTACCCATACGTATGCATGCTCTTAAACAGGGTCTGGACAGAAACATCACCTGGTGGTCAGTCATCTAAACATCAGTTTGGGGAGGGTCATCAACTGTAAAGGCTACAAGCTGTGTTTCACAATAGATAATTTTTTTCTCTGCTTGTATATAAAGAACTCCTATTTGTATAATTTTCCTGACATTACTTTAAAATTCCATTTTCCAGCCCTTGATGGGTATGCCATACTCAGTGCCAGTGGAGGAGACAGAGGGCACAGATACACACGAGTCTGAGGAAGATGAGGAGGGGGAGGACACAGACTCTGGGACACACCTCCAGGGAAGGTCAAGGCCTGTGTCAGGGGCATTGCAGAATGGAAGAACTGGCAGTAGGCCTGTCTCAGGTGAGAGACTTCTGTCATGCAGTGCGGGGAATATAGATTTGCTTTCATGTTGGTGGCGCATGTTATGGGTTGGATTGTTTAACTTGAATGTATTATGTTGATTAAGTTTAATGAAGAACTTGACAAATAAAAAAGGATCAGTTAACAAAAACACAAAGAATATGATTAACTATTTCTGTATAAACAACAACTCTCTGTAGAACTTAGGATAAAACATAAATCTTACTGTCAGTACAAATGTGAATCGTGGTCTTTTTTTCATATTTCACATCTTAATTAAATATACAACAACACATCAAATGTAACACCAAGCTGCACTTTCCAGGCCGCCCAACATCTGGTCATCAGTCCCGCCCTCCAACACAGCAGAAGTCACCTGGGACTGCCACCAGGGCACGCTCCTTGTCCCGTCCACAGAGCGCCAGCAATAGGCTACCCAATGGGATACCTGTCTTGGTAGGTGTATTTTTATACGTTTGTCGTTTTAATTTTTTTTTTTCACCCCTTAGCCTAAGTTTCAACCCCACAGTTGGTCAGTTTGCTTGTTCATTTTTTAATTTCCAAAGATTAAGATTTGGAAATGGAAAAATTGGCATAATGTATTTGAAGCTCAGCTAGGGAAGTCTGACCAGGTACAGTTGTATCTACAAAGAATTATTTATCTGTGACATGAGGAGGTCAACAATGAAAAGATTGTGTTAATATAAAGTGTTTTTGGATGCAGGTACAGTGCAGCACTGTACTCTCTTTTTATGAGAATAAATTTTATGTCTTCTCCATCCTTCCACACAACACAAATCACTTTGCATACAAAATCACAAGACAGGCACCAGATAAAGAAGGTTTGTAATTCGACTTATCTAGGCCAATCCCTTGTGATTAATTATTTTAAATCTAAGTCAATTGATCTCTTGCGCAAGACAGAATAATCATTCAATCTATTATATAAGAAGTCATAATCAATTAGTATGGCACAAGTCACACAACTTTGATTGTTCCATATTAGATCAAATCTTTGGGGCTGTACTTTTCATATTGTAAGATTGCATTTTTTTCCGGAATGAACAAAAGCTTGTCAGCTAGTGTCATTAGTAAACATTCTCTATTTCTGTGTCTGTTTCAACATTCTAGGAAGAAAGTGTGTATTCAACAGCTGCTAGAGACATGGAGGAGGACCTCACTAGAAAATCTTTGTCACTGCTCAACGACATGAAAATAAAATTTCCTGGAAAAACTGACGAAGAAGCAGAGTGGATTCTTGACAAGGTTTGTGTGTTGAGTTTGATGCATAATTAACATACTTTTTGCTAGCTTTTTTCTTGTTTCCACAGTAGTTTCATATGAATGCATATGCACTTTTATTTTCGTTACTCATAGTGTACCACAATAACTAAGAATAAAACATTTGTTCTAAAACCACCTTTCATGATCATTATGAAAACTGTCTCTATGATTATTTAAGCTTCATTGTGATGACTAGTTTATCTTTTGTTTGCAGATCCAAGAAAATTGGAAGTTTCACAAGCCCCGGATAGCTTCGTATTGGCTGGTAAAGTTGGATTCAATTAAAAGAAGAAAGGTAAGTTTATCATGACCTTTTTTATTTTTATTTTTCCATTTTGTTTTATTATTATTATTATTTTTTGTTAATTCTGATAAACTGACGAAGCAAAAGGTAAGGTAATATGTATTTAAGTTTGGGGTGGGTTTTATTTTTAATTAAAACAAGTTCTGAACTCAACCAATACACCTGTTCATCTGTTTAAAATTCTGTCACCCTCTGCTCCAGGTTATAGACATTGTGCGTTCCAATGTGAGAGCTGTACTACAGAGGACGTGGAAGTGTCCTGATGTAGAGAGTCTACGACTATATCGTATATTCAATAGAGTATTCAACAGATTATTATGGAGCCATGGGCAGGGGCTGTGGAACTGTTTTGGACAATCAGGGTAGGATTACAATTATTTGTAATTTTTTTTTTATGTAAACTGATAGTGTAGATGAATTGTAGATGGACCAATTTCTTATTTAGCGTTTGTAGTATTGTAAAAGATGGAAATGTTAGAAAAACTGATCAATAGGGCTTGATAATTTATTTCTAGGACTAAAAGATAAGACATTTTTAACTGTGATCAAAAATGTGAGGACAAAAAAAATACACCAATCTGCAAAAGGTACAGGTGATAAAGACTCAGCAGGAATTTTTTGGTAAATTATCATAACTTGTAATAAGAACCCTCATTTTGTCCCAATAGGAATTCCTGGGAGACAATCTTCAGCAAAAGCAGTGACAGCATCAGCAGCACAGAGATGAACTGTTGCAGGAGAATTGTACAGCTATGCCGAGACTGTTTGCTCATCGTGTACCAGTTTGCATCCGATGCCAAGAACTTGGCACAGCAGTCGTCTTCATTGAATGAAGAAACTGGGAGCACCAAAGCAAGGTAATTCTAATGGTGGTAACCCCCCCCCCCACACACACACACACACAAACACACCACCACCACCACAGTATTCACTATACGGAGGCTGATTTGGATTGACTGCTGTATAGATTTGAAAAATAATCACTTCATGAATTTTAAAAAATCAATAAATTAAGAAATTTCCCTCATTGTTCATATCTATACATGCTCAAGTCTTTTCCCCTGCTTCAACATATGACTTGGATTGACTTCAGTTTGATGTAGTTGCACGTGAAATCTGCTGTTTTTGCAACTCATATAAACAGCCATTTCTAATATATTCCACTATCAAATTTGCCAATAAACGGTGTCTTGTGTATTTCTATTAATATAATCTAATAAAGTGCTAAGCATGGGCAATCTCATGTGGCATCAACACAAACATTGCAGCTCTTGGCTGTCAATTACTGTATGTCTATTTATGCCATACAAACGGTGCTTCAGTCTTTTTTTAAACTGAAAAAGTACTCTAAAATTATCAACTTGATTTCCATAAAAAATTACATTGACGTATTCAGTATTGGGCTAAACTTTCCATTCTCTTTCATTGTTCAGAAACAAGAAATTTGACCTATAGATATAAGATAGTTGTATGATAGTTTTCAAGTGTCTCAGAAAGCATTTGTTAGCATTTTACATCTATTCCTTCTATTTCAGCCCAAGAGCTTTATCAAGCCTAGAGAAGAGGACACAAACGTGGTCCCCAAACCAGACGGTCAGTCAGAGGGTGTCCAGACTTTACCCTCACAGGATGGACTCCACGCAATCTTGACCACAATCACTGTAAATACGTTTACTGGTCATCCAAGGCCTAGTCAATTGCAAAACAGAGGAGAGATGTGTTCAGAACGATATCATACAATCATGTGATGAAAACTGTTTGTTCTGTTATATTTATTAATTAATTGGTATTCATACTAGCAAGTGGTATCATTCCTAGACAGTTAGATCAGCATCTGTGATGTTTGTATACACGATCACTTTTTTAACCCATCTTGCAAGATTGACTTCTGGTACATGTACTGTACCAACTATTTATCAGCTGACAGAATGAAACTGATGTGTTTCATATGCAAGCATATTATTATTATTGTTATTTTTTATTAATTATTTATTTATTTATTTTGTAGCAATGCATGATGTGCATCTTAAGCACAGAACATAATCCTTTTGATTGGCAATTTGATTGTATGAGGGAGAGGGGCTTATTTTTCCCCACTCTTTTTTGGTTATACTTTTTGGAAAAATGAACTTTTCAGTGGACCTTTTAACCCCTTTAGTTGACCTAATTCAAAAACTGGCATAAAAATAAGATAATTCAGAGTAGATCTCTTCTGGCCTAAAGGACATGCAGTTCTTTCAACCCACCGACCCCCCCCCCCTCTACCAATGTGCCTGTAAGTAAAGCTCTCATAGAAGGGTTGTGATACTTAGTCTTTGAAAAAATCAAAATGTTTTTTTTTTCATATTCTCTTTAAAGTCATGTAATTATTATTCCATATTTTCAGTCTGTAATAATCAAGCTAAGAAGTAATGCTTTAGTGGACTTTTCTTAATTGGCTTCATGCAGGATATCTGTATATATAAATATATTTGTTAGGTTACGTTTCACTTGCTTGAAATTTATATATATCATTACACATTTGTAAACTTGGGCTCTTGCAAAAATCATAATTGCAAAGATTTTTCTATAAAATGGCCATCCGTCCAGTTTTAGCTGTAGATTATGACCTTCAAGTGATTATTTGTAAAATGTTTTTTTTTTTAAATTAAATTTTGTAATTAGGAATGGAGATGTCCATCTGTTATAACAATTTTTTTAGTCTGGTGGCAAATTCTTGGAAAGTGATCTACATTTTGTAGACCTGTTTTAACTGTTTCAACATTTAAAAATCAACCAGTTGCCATTTAGTCATTTAAGGGTTGTTCACACATTGTGTGAGAAAAGTTTCATCTTACATGCTGTCAGGCAATACATTTAAATTATTTATATTGATCAGAAAATGTTAATTTTTCCTTAAGTGAATGAAAAATAACTTGTGAATCTTATAACTAGCTGTGATAGCAAAGTTGGCTTCTCCAGTTGCCATAGTACCATACATAGCTTCAAAAAGCAGTTTTATTTATATACCTACAAATAATAGTTATTGATTTTACATAGAATATTCTATCATAAACTATCTGCCATCATAACCTGTAGTAGTATTTTGCTGTATTGAAGCCATTGTATGTAAACTAAGCATGGTACATACTGGTGTGGCCCATAGCTGCTTCCATTAAGGTGGGTTAGAGGAGAGATTATTTTATAACCCTATTATATTTTCAGCAAAATGATTTTCAAAATAAATATTTTGTGAAGCAAATATTCTTATGGTTTGTAATAAATTCAGAAGAAAATCATTTCCATGCTGACCTTTGTTGATAAGTGGCATGAGTAAGGCATGAAATAATTTTACAAGACATTAGCAAGCTGCTGTTAAAGAAGCCTTTCACTTACATAAAAAAAACAAAAAAACAGCTCGAGTTTTACTGCCAATAAGTTGCAGTTTAGTTGAAAATGAATACAAATTTTATATCCAAACAACTCGACCTTTTATTGCCTTATCAGCTAGCTGGGGCAGTGATCTATGACTTCTTGCTTTGCCCTTCATATACGAGTGGCTGCAACATTAATGCGTTATCCCAATTTACCCCATGGCTACCATAGCAATAAATAATATGGGTTCATGTCCATAAAGCAAAACACTATCTACTTGTAGTCCTTGGTTGATTATTGAGGCATATTTTTAATTTGCAAATTGGCATCAATAAATTCAACCAACCTTGACAGACATGACTTTATTTTCATATTGTAAGTGTACGAGTTTTAAATAATGACATGAATGTTTGAAATCGTTAGAAGCAAGTGGATGCATGTTTGTGTGCTCATATATTGAAGCGTTTGCAATATTAAGCAACTCATCAAAACAAATATTTGGACATTGTTGATTAGGACCATTACTAACTTGATGGCAATTATTTGGCTATTGTTATTTTAAAACAATTGGCAATTTTTATATGATCTAAACACTCTCTCTAAAAAACCACAATTTTAATGGAATCTGAAAGATGCCCAAAGGATTTTTTTTTAAATTATTATTCTTTCTTTTCTCTTCTATATTTAGGCTGAGAGGAGAATTTTTTACCAAATTTTGAAGAAGTATGCAAGTTAAATCTCATCCACTTAGCAACTTTTCTGATTTTACAAAATTTGATCAAACTACTTGTAGCAAAATGTCATTTTTAATTACTTTCGAATATTTCCCAGAATGTGAGTCAAATTACACTACCCAGTACCAGACATGTCATTAACTACAAAAGACGGTCTTTCTGAAAATAATGCAAGCTCTATATTCCAATTTTCATAAAATTTAACCAACCAAGCACAGGTTCACCTGATTGAACTGCGTGTTTGAGACGGTTACAAGACATTCATCTAGTCAGAATATGTGCATCACTGCTGCAGACATTCTAAGATGTGGTAATTAGAACTTGGCAACTGGGTTAGAGCTTTTTTTACAAACCCAACATAAAGAGTTAGCACAAAAGCACTTTGATTACTGCCTCAATGGCTTACAGCATGGCAATGCATCAATGCCAAATGAACATTCTATCTGGCAAACCTTGGACAGTAAATTAATCTCTCCGTAACAATGGTGCTTTGCCTGCAGATGAATTAATTAAAAAACGAATAAGGAACAAACAATGGCACTTATATTCTCCTGGTTGAATTATTTCGGCAGAAAGTTTTTTACAGAGTATTGAAGGACGTGCACTACATCACAGACATCAACAACGAGCTTAAGATATAGAATGTGCTTTTAATGGTAACCCATTTAAAATCTTAAATTATTGCTGATAATGAAATCACATCCCTCTGGATCTTGACTTAAAAATATATCTATTACATCTACTGTCTTGACTTCAAAATTTTTGTAAAGAGAAAGATACATAAATCAGCCATTATTTTGTTTCCTGTAGTTCTAAAATGGGTAGATCTTTTTCTGAGCCTGATATCAGCAATATTTATAGAACTGTATCTTAAAATAAATGGAACAGATGGAAAAGGAATGTACCTTTAAGTATTCAGTTGGTGACCCAGGTTTTTTTCATGAATGCCTAAATGACAAGCAGATTTTCTGAATTTTCTAATGTATTTGAATGTTTGTGATACAGAAAATAAATCAAAGATCACACAGTCATGAATAATGCTCTCTTTATATTCAAATGAGTACTAAAACAAAAACTAATAAAACTAATACAAAAATAGCTATTAGATAATGGCAAACATAAACATTATGTGCAAAAGCACTCTTTATTTTGTAAGTGTACGTGTCCTGTGTTAAAATTTTTCTCATCATGGGTTACATTATTTTCAAATGTTGTATTATGTACTCACATTTTATATTTGTCAAACATTCCATTTTTGAATGAACAAATCTGTCACTCAATACTTAATAAAAGAATCATCATTTTAATAGTTACATATAAAGCTACAGAACCATATGTGACTGTCATATACTGTGACCACTTTAACAAATGTGTGTATAACAAAATAGTGTTGACTAGAAAGATGCTCCTCCTGAACCATGCACATTACATACTATATACAAGATAAACAGATCTCTTTGATTTGTTTTGGAATCCTGATCAAACTTATACTCAACATACATCTTCAAAGTCCATACTACTTTTTGCTCAGCTAAATATGTGAGGTAACTTAAAATTTTCAGAGACGGCTTGATAATGATCACTATATTGCACCCACTTTCAACGCCAATGGCAGATTTCTTGTCTATGGTTTATGTAGATAATTAGTGTCATTTAAGTCAAAATTTAACCTAGCTTGTATAAAAAAATAAGATAATACCACATGTAAGGGTAATAACCAAAATTTGAACTAGAACTACATGTATAAACTTTAAGGAACTGGCAGGCTACAAACCAAGGCATTCTACCCTAATGGTCCAAATATTGGAAAAATTATACGATGGACATCTCTCAAAAATACTACAAACAGAGACATGACATGAAGAAATCTGTGGTGGAATCAATTCACCAGTTTAGCTTTTATAATCAGATAGTGGGACGAGTCATCATGGTGCAGTCATCTCCAAATGTGTCCTTTCTTGTACATCGACCCCATCTACTGAGTACTGGTTTGCTCACTTGGACTGGGGACCATGCACTCATCATTTTGCATAAAACAAAAAAGAGCTTCTTATTTACTGCACATTACCCAGCTACTTATCTTAAAAAAGATTGATTAGAGGTAGGCCAACTGAAAATATTGTTCAAAGGCAAATTTGTCAGCTTTTGATACTTTTTTAATCTAAGTAGATCAGCAACAACTGGGCAGGGGGCTCATGTACTGAGTATAGTTTGGAGGTTGGTGAAGGAGGAGGGGGGGGGGCAGATAAAAAAAAACATAGCCTATTTTTTTCTTCATATCATTTATGTCTCTAGTATTTTTTCATAATATCCACAGATGCTTACAATGTGTCTGTCGGACAATATGAGGTTGAATATATCATCAAACAAAATTGGCCTCAACTGCCTAATGAGTACAAAATGGTTATTTCAGCTGTTTTTCAGGGAGTATCTTCAGTCAATATGAATATGCCAGTATCTGGAATCGACATCCACTGTGCCCCAACTGCAGGTAAAACAATGAAAAACAATGCTTCTGTATATACAATTTATATATAGAGAGAGTATCCTTCGATTGCGATCCAATAACCTGGTATAAAACTCAACCTAAATGTATTTGCAAACTGGATGGCAATTATATCATCTTTGCAACCTGTGACTTCAGCTTAAAGACTTCCAGTCATGATGTCCCACACACAGATAGTCTGATGTTGGTGCTGTTACACTGTATGACATACTGTAGTATGCATTTAAAAAGATGACTTTCATTCAAAATGCACTGTAAGTACCATCTTGGCAATGCTTACAGCCACCTCAACACAGACTGATCTCAATTTTCTGAAAATCTGCTGTGAAGCAAACCTGGAGGAAGTTTTACTCTAAGTAGAGGGAGACATTAGTTTGATATAATGTAAGCCACATCTACAGGAATGATCGAGCCTTCGTTTCATTTCTCATCGCCTTGGACACTTCTGCTCGGGGTGGATGGAGATTTCTTTTGCTCAGCTGATGATGATGTACTGTGATCACTCTCAGACAAACCCATGGGAAGTCCTTAAATACAAAGACAGAATGGTTTTAACACATATCTTATATCGGACACAACATACAGAAAGATAGAGCACTGTTCTGTGCTTTATACTAGTATTAGTATTAGAAGAATCAACTGATAATAACACGAGTACAAATAATGCCATGGTATACGTGGCATAATATCATGTCATGTCAAACATAATGCAGGCGCACACAGATATACAGAAAATTACACTGATAGCATACACTATCACCAGTGTTAAGTTACACAATGTCATGTAGTTTTCTGCGGCTGATAAATGAATGAAGTCTAGAGGGCATATATCACGATAATCAGCGGAGGTGAATTTTTTTCTATTGATCCTTAACATGGTTTATGGCAAATGTCATATGAAATCCACTACTACATGTTAACCTCAAATCATTAATGTGATGTGTAATAGTCCACAACATATTTGTACCACTTCTCTGTAAGCAGATGTGTCACGCATAGGACTTGGGCAATACATCTCACTGCCTGCAAGAACATGTATCCAATAAACCTGGTAAAAATCTACTTTTTTGACCAAGTTTTTACCATTTTAATAATATTTTTCTAATTACAGTATTTATTTTGATTCCCCAATGGTGAAATAATAAACAACAGGAAACAATGAATTCTATCAAATATTGTAATATTTGTGAACTTCAAGAAAAAAATCACAGGAACTTAATCTTTTTACAAGATAATCCAACACACACACACACACACACACACACACACACACACAGTCACACTTTATTATGAACTTTTCACCTCACACACACCGGATGTTCCTGTGAAGTTTTCTATGTACAATCTACATTGTATCAACCACCCGTGGAAGAATTATTGCCAGTCGCACACAGAGTTCCAGACCACATTGAACAAACCATATTCTTCTGTCGCACAGAAACCCCATTTTCAAATGATTCATCAGAACTTCAAGGACTGCACACTTCCATGATTCAATAGAACTTACTCAAATTTTCTAAATAATTCAAGATGATCCAGCCGCCCACTGTAGCAGAAATCAGACATTTTAAATTATTCAAACAAAATTACTCAGGGGCTATTAAAATGATGGAATAGACTTTACCATCTGTAGAATAAATGACAACTGTATAAATCACCAAGATGATAGCCAAATTTCTTACTTAAGGTTGTGATCTCTTTTTTTTTTCTACTAATTCTTTCAGCTTATATATATTAGTCTAACATCTGTAAAAGGAACGCCATACGATTTAGAATATTTTTTAATCCAACTTATAAAATAATCCAATGGATGATTAATGGCAGAATATAAAATCTGTTGCAAATGGTTGAAATTTGGAAAGGGATAACAATTGGTTTCAAGCGTAATTTGGTGCCGTCTTAGATAAAGTCTGGAAATTGGGAAGGAACAATTAGAGTATACAAAAACAGTGTTTACCTTTTGAATCAAGACTTTTATTACAGAGAAATGACCCCCTCCCCTCCCACCCTCCAAAAACAGAAAACCATGAAAGAGTCAATTTAAAAAATTTGCAGATAGAATATCCAAGACACATTCAAAGTAAAATTCAGTTGTGTAGCCCTTTTCAATAGCTGTACTATGCCACGTGAAATGTAATAGTACATGTATAGCTCCTCTGGGGACTAAGGGAATCCTTGAAACAGGAAATGAGTTTTGTATCCCCAAAACATGTCTATGACATAATTTAAGGATTGGCAAAAACAGGACTTACAGTAACAATGCATTTATGAAATATGCATCATTGTACTGTTTAGTCATTTGTGTCAGGTAACAGTGGTTTTGTGAAGGTACTCTTAAAAATTATCCTTTAAATTGCCATTTCAAATGATTCAGCAGAATTAACTCTCAGAAAAAATGCCCATCATTCAGTGGCATTTATTCTCAGAAATCACCATGACATCGAAAGAAATTTTCTCCGTGAAAATGCCATTTCTGATGATTCAGAGACACAATCAGTGCTGAGTGCAGATATTGGACTTCACACTGTTATTGAATGCAATAATGCACCTGACTCATATGCAGCTTCCACGACAATGTAGATATGTAATGATGGAGGCACTTACTGGAGCATCTTATCAGCCGTAGTAGATCTAATATATTTTACTGATTCTTGTTTCCAAACATATTAACTGCATGTGTTAATGTTGTTTCATATGGCAGAGATAGATAATGAAAATCACAGGATCACAATTCAAACAATGGGTTTGGATTATAATATCTCATCTAATACGGTTCAATGTACATTCTGAAAAGTGCACCTCCTGTTTTGACATACAGAGCAATAATGTACAATAGCTAATAAAACTAATATGTAATGAAAAGATAATTACATACAGTCCTTTCTGTATCTCAATCAATTAAGTTGTTCAAATCTTACTCTGGGACAATTTTATACGATAATAATAATAATAATGATGATAATAATTTATCAATTAATAATAATAATAATAATAAATGAAGTAATCAATAAAGGGTGAGTGGTTTATGGAAAAGTAAAAGAATACTTTGCAAGAGGTTCAATTAGTTAATCTTTGGGTTGAACTGACTAGACACTGTTCTCAAGGGACAAATGGTGAGCCAACTAATTACCAGACAAAAATAACATTTGGAGAAAATCCAATTATGAAGAAACAAGCTTAAAACATTAATTGCTGAATAAGATAAAAGTCAGCTGAAAAATGATAATTGCCAATAAATCCTAAATAAAATTTTCAGAAAATTTTATGTATTATCAAAAAACATTTTCTTTGGCATAAATTTGTTGTAACCATTAAAAGTATTTTTGTTTATAAGCATGGGTGCCATTTTGGTAGGAAGGTCCAGTAGTTCAAACATTAATTATAAGAAAATGATAAAAAATATTTTTTTCTGAATTTTCAAACTTGAAATTAAAAAAAAAATTAAATTGTTCAGAAGCCTCACTGATTTGACATTCCATGGTCTGAGGCTCAGTTTCCTGACTATGATCTGCCTGCTCTTTAGTGCAACAGTAATTTTAAAAGAAGTTTTGTTTTAACAATCTTGGGGGTGAGAACGGTTCTTATACCCTCTATTTTCCTGCTGGCAATTGTTATTGAATTTTCTGACCTCAAAAAACTGACATGAAAATCTAAATACCAAAGAGCCTTCAGACCAATGAACCAGTACATTCTGTGCTAATGGACCTTCAGCCTAATTAACCTACAAATTACATAGCAAGACACACCCAATAATTATCATTAGGTATGGGCTCGAGTCTGCGGTTTTAAAAAACAAGACATTGTGAAAAAACTTGATACACTGTAATACCACAAGGAAGTCAATAAAATATGGCAATTAAGGCCCAAACAAAGGTTATTGACATCATCTTTGACTTTTGAAGAATTATCACCATAATGAGTAGTCTCTAATACAGAATCAATGACATTTCCATAGCCTCATGGGTACAAATAGTTCATAAATGACATTTCATAAGGGGGTGCATTACTTTAACATATATACATACCTAGAGAGGTTATCTGACCCTGGCAATATGCACTTTATTTATTTTATTTTTATTTATTTATTTACTTACTTTTTTTTTTTAAATTTAATTTTTTTGTTTTGCTTTGTTTTGTTTGGGGGAGGGGGTTGAAATGCCAATACTTGTTTGAAGTGTGTAAGTTAAATTACTCAAATAATGCACTGGGACCCTCACAAGATATATGCCTTGAAAACCTATAGCTGGCACTCGAGGCGTTCTGGCCTATTTTGCTCAGGGTGACAGAGTATTATCTCACACATAACCGCAGACAATTAAATATATATAACATATTACCCTGGGCTTCAGATCTAGGGTCTCCCAGCTTCTATCTTAAGTCTCCAATATGTGCATGTTTACTGGTCTGACAGATGCACATATACTTAGTAAATGGGCATTTGCACATGAACCTTTATATACCTACAGAACATATTTTTTTAATACAGAAGTGCCTCAAACTTATGTATTATTAGGTTACCAAGTTTATGCCGTAAAAAAACAGGAAACAAACTATCAAATACAGTCAAGACGATGCAATGAAACAGATAACAGAACAGCAGACAAATCCTATTATAACACCTAACAAGAAATCCATAAACTGTGCGGGACACATTATCAACAGTTATATCAGATATAATGGAAGCATTAACCTTGATGGTCTAATTTTTAATTAATGCTGAAATCTGTTCTGATGAATAGTATTTAAATACAATGGTCTTATTGCATGCATGTATGCATGTGCACGAACACACACAAACACGTGCACTTGCACACAAAGTATTTATTTTCTAGCTGTTGGCTGGTATATATAGAAAACTTAACAATTAACTGTCCATGATTTGTCAAACAAAGCCAGCAATGCAAAAGGTCTATGACATCTACCCACCAGTGTTCACCATATGTTTGGAGGTTGTCTTCTGAGCTATATTTAACTAAATCATTCAACTCAAGGTTAATCTGTCCAGGTCTATTTCCCTAGAGTTTCATCAAAAAGCCATTAGCTTATAAAGTCCAGTAAATATTGGAAGTGAAACTTGGGAGTGCAGAATTAGTGTAGACTAACACCACACATTGGATACCACATTGGATACTCCTTAAGATATACTTAGAGCAATCAAACAAACATCAGTTTATATTTTATCAAGTGAAGGCAAAACATTGATTAGGAACAACTTCATGTAATTATGACTGACAAGTAAAAGGAAGTGGAGAAAAATGTGACAAGGCTACACCTTTTATAAATGTCAACATGTCTTTTTACTTTGAAGGGTTTCTGTGCACATTTAAAGTTAATATGTAAGTTTTTTTGGTCCATGTACAGTAGCATGGAAGTTATCGGCCATAAAATATTGAAGCTATAATTGATGGCATCAAAGGATATTTTGACTTACAAGTATTTATTATCTTAACATAGAACATTTATTATGGTTACCTTCGTAACAAAATCTATAAGGTAATGGGGAAAGGAAACCCTGACCCATCAAACACAATGCCCATTTATATCAGTCACAGGTTTTTCTCTAAATAAAAATAATTAGAGCATTTTATTTTTATTTGTTTATTTATTTTTTTGCTCTATTTTACCCTTATTTAGTATTCTTTGGGCTTATAAGTCACTTGCATGCATGTTAATCCATTGTCTTAATTACCAAAGGATTAATGGCCTGTTTAAATTACAAAGTCTTATATCCAGGTAAATACTCGATTAATATTATGTAATCTTGTTCAACCATAAAGGGTTTATGTGCCTATTCCGTACTATGTCACATCTCTTCAACCCCCCCCCCCCCCACACACACACCTAGTGATAAAAAACCTATTTATATTCCCATTCAATACCCATGAAATCACTCTTCCCCTATTAATTAACTATGACCTTCAGTAATGTCATATTCAGGGTAACATCAAAACTGGGGATGGGAATATTCATAGCAGAATACAAACACCTAACTAGCTGGGCTTTTAAGTTCTTAAGAGATGTGTTAACTCAGGCAAAGTAAAACTCTGAAAAAAATATGAAGCTCCTTATCTAAAGAAAATGGTCAAAGATTGTAAAGCAAAGATGGCAGTCAGTCCAGAAGTAGGCAATATGAGTGAAAAAGAGTTCACCTGTGTTCAAGTGTCAACTCTCTTTGATGAATGATTTCTATGAAATCCTGAAGAAATGATTAATTAACCTTTCACACACAGCATAGAATTCTAAGTAAAGTGTCCTTTTTTACAGCCAAAAAAACCGACTGGAATAATTCAAAATGTTCTCAACAAGTCATCAGATTGCATAACATAGGATTCCATATTCTACATGTGTCTCAAGGCAACTTCATAACCTTAAAATTACAGGCTTTTTTTCGGCTAAATCTCCATTCCAAATACACAGCACTGTAAAGGCAACTTACAGTACTTAGCTGTTTGTTCACCATGGTTTTTATGTAATCAGGCCCTGAGTTGTACATGTAAGCTAGTACCAGTTAGATACTTTGCCATCCACACCACACAGTCCCTATTTTCCACACACACACACATACACAGACAGATAAGACATCAAATATTAATAATACAATCTAACAGATGAAGCATAAAGTACTAATACATATGGCAGGCTGGCAAGCCATATAGCACCTACCACAAATTTCAAACACTGTTAGGGGCAGACAACATGCAATTGAGCCAACAAACTACTGGCCATATAGTAAAGTACTTCCTTTTTAAGCAGACAATTGAATGCGAGAATAATTAAATTCTTAGTGTTATTACATCAACTGGCAAAAGAAAGTACATCAACAATTTTGAAACAGAAATGGATAAAAACTATATGTCAAACAGTCTACATCATTTAAACCTGGTACTTGATTTTCAGTCAAACTATAAATTTATGATTAAGTACCTCATTAGTAGTTTTTGAAAGAGGATCCACCCACTTGGAAATACATGTATTTTTAAATGTTACTACTTGAAGCACTCATACACACATTTTTTTACAAATAGATGCAAAAAATATCAGCACTGTCCATGGATTATTCTATTTCTGGTTTATCCATTTATCTATTTCGATTACTTGTTCAAGGCAAAGATCTGAACATCATCTATGATTCATATCTGTAATTTCCATCACGGAAGAGAGTCAACACTAACTTTTTTCAGGATTATGACAATGCCTTGTTCTGCACTCTAAGGATGACAGGTGGAAAGTGACAGATGACACTTATCCCAGCACTACCAGGCCACACCTCCCAAGGGACTGGCTTAATGCCTCACCATTAGTCTTAGGACGTTTTTCACAAAAGACTTATTTACATCAGTTCTGATTCAATTAAAAAGTGGTTCGGTGTCCTCGTATTAGAAATTGCAAAGCTGCCAGCTCTTTATGCGTGTAGACATTTTTTTGATGGATTTTCATTTCAGTTGTTATTCTGTTGGTAATTATACGATAAACAAATGATCAACACACCTATTTTGCCTATTAGCTATGCCCATTAACTATAGGCCAAAAGTATTAACTGTTTTCAATGTAATTTACAAGGCTCAGAGTCTGTAGTCAGTTTTGACTTTAGTTGCATGTAGAAAGATGATTAAAATTGGTGAAAGTGCTTGTTTGGGAAGTTAAGAAAATTGCTTAACATGTACATATCATCAGAACATAAGTATTTAATCTTGATATGTGAAATTTCCTATAAAAGTGCTTATGTACTAATCTGGCCTTACAAAGAACCAGAACGTTAACCCAACTAAAATAAGTCTCATGTGGTCACCTCCGTAGAGTGTGATATCATGCAGATACACATTGATTCAACTATCCTATAGCAAAGAAGAAGACAATATAGAAGCAATATGTCTATGTGGAAAAAGAAAGGAAGGTCAGATAATGGACAATCAATGAATAAAAACAGCCCTGAGTGATGGAGTTATGAAGAAATCAATGAGACAAGGTTATTTAAGATTATTCTATTTTCTTATCATGTTCTGGCTTCACTTTGGTGGCATTGCATTGAATCCATTACTTCCTGTGTCAAGACACCAGATAAAAACCCAGTGTACAATTAAATTAATAATAATAATAATAATAATAATAATAATAATAATAATAATAATAATAATAATATACAACCCACAGAAGACTTATTCCAAAATCAAATTTAAATATTTTTGTTTTTGTTTTGAATGAAGGATTTTTACTTACATTCATTTCATATAGCTTACATGAATGGTGAGGATATGTGTCTTAATTTGAGACAATTTGAAATTATCTTAAAACCAAATATACTGAAAAGTGTTCAAAGGCATTGATAAATAAACTGAACAGTTTCTAAGAACAGTTAAGACAAGATGTGAAGACAGAGATGACCTTTTGTTTATGAGACCACACACTATTATGGGATCAGGTGCAGCTACAGGTAATATAGTATTACATGCAGAGCACACCCACCAGTAATCTGCCCACTGGTGTGCTCATTTTCATAAAATCAAACCTCTGTCCACGGCAAAGCACGCAATATTGACTTTTATCATTTCAAGAAATGTGATTTCATTTCGAGAGGTATTCCAGGTGATTTATTGATTCATTTCTACTGCCCTAACACCAAACAGATCTTTTCTAATTTTCAAACTTTTTATGCATTTCTTGTGATTAAGTCATCATGCAACAAATCAATGATAGATAGTTAGTAATAAAATTGCAATTGCAAGTTGAAAACTGTTAAAAGGGTGGTCCATGGTACAAACCTGCTTCAAACCACCCCAACCTGTGTAAACCAATTACCTCTTTCCTGTGGCCAAATGTCCAGTAAATACTGGACCACCTGGATGTGCTTCTTGAAGTCCATTGCTGCACTGACGTTGAGGATGCTGCCCGGAGATGGACAAAGCAGGACAGGTCCAAAACACACAGCAAGGTTGTGGGTGGTCATCTTGTTGATGTCACTCCGTTTGGCCACTCTGTTCAGATGGTCAAGAAGCATCACCATGGTATCCTGGCAAAATGAATTTGAAATTCTGAGAATAAAATCTCATTCTCATAAAAATCAAACCCATCAGCATGACTGAGTTTGATAAAAAAATTATGATTTATATAATATCATTGAAGGCTGTATTGAATTGTCTATTTATCAACAATAAGAAGTGTGGTCTTAGAGTGACATGTTACTGCTTTTTCTCAATACAATGCAATGTTGGTAATATATTCATTCAGGAAAAAACTATATTCTAATCAATGTCATCTAAAAAGAATGTTACCATTATCTTCTTATCATGAATCAATCCAAATAGCATGTTAATAGCACTTAATGTTGTTGCAGCTCAAAAATCTTATGATCATTAGTTTTCAGCAATTGAACTGTTGGATAAAAATATAACAAGTGTAAATGAGAATGGCGGCAACTTGTAATCAAGGTCAGGTTGCATGTTATCCTTTATTCAACTGAACAATGGAAACTCAGGGTGATGGTAAAAAGTTCATGGTTCTGTGATTTTTCACCCAATCTTAAATCACTGAACTAAAAGATCAGGTTTGCTTTAGCCTAATAGCCCACTGGTATAGTGGATTTCATTTCTTGCAAGCTAAATTAATTTCTTGAAAATCATCAGCCTAGATCAGTGCACAGTTTATTGGTTACTGCCCTGAAAGAAAAGTACTGACAGCTTGCACTTTAATAATATAGCCTTTAAACTGAGTTAATTTTTCTAATGAAAAATGTATGCTCAGTACTTGTGCATATCATTGGGTAATTTAATTTAACTATTTAACTATTAATTTTGATGGAATATCCCCCACTCAACAAAATATTGTAATAATAATAAAAAAAGTGCACACACTTATCATGATAATGACCTCTTAAAAAATTGTTACAATCTTCAATATTTCCCTGCACAAATATCTACTTATTTACATGGCGAGGTTTTCTTTTAGAAAATTTATTTCCATAGTGTTTTTCTTAAATGTTTCATTGCAATTTTCATTTCAAAAACACCTCCACCATACCTGTTAGATTGTGATAGTGCAAAAATAAACAAGCAAATTCAGGCAAAGGTACAAAAAGCATCAAAAACAGCCATTCTTCCAAATGATTATTTTAGGAACAAGCAAATGAATCAAAGTGGAATTTTCCCCTGGGGTTTGTGCTCTGACCACTAGAGACTCAATTGAACTCAGCAGCTTATGCCTGATAAACATGGCCATTACATTTAACCCAATGGCAATGGGCTTAACCATCTGTATTTCACATCTTTTCCAGTAGTTTTTGAGTTGATTGCATTGTTCCAATTTTTAAGGCTTATAGTACTTTTTGTACATGAGCAAGCTTAGGGACACTGAAAATATTACATTAAAAGTTGCTTTGACAAACTCTGTCACAGAATTTGACCTTAGAGACCTACAGACATTTTGAAGGCATCCCAGTCTATGTAACATAGAGACATGTTCACTAAGAAATCTGTTCAAAAATACAATGACACACAGCAAATATTTTTCTTCATCTTCGAAAAAGTCCATCCTGAATCAAGGCACATGCTTTTTTATACTGGAAAATGGTTTCATGTGTTTTATACAGTGTGCAATAACAAAAAGGTTTTGTTTATAACACTATGTATAAAAGATTGTTCAACCTAATTGATTTGATTATGAATGATGCTCCAATATTCTAAGGTTGGTCCTTGACATTGTTATATTGGAAGTGGGCTGGCTGCATTATTACAATGTGTGGTATATATGAAAAAGATGTTGGCCATTTCAGGAAATACAGATCAGCTTAAATATTGAGGTTTATTGCATGCTTTACTTAATCATGTTTGGAAGACATCTTTAAATTATGAATTTATGGTTCAGATCATTAGCATGGTTTGAAACACCCTGGTTCTCTTAACTTCTGAGAACATGCCCTAAGATATTCAAAATTACAAATATGCATTCACCAAACACTGGAACTTGCTTTGTAATTAACATTGATCAAACGCTGTGACCTTGACAAGAAATCTTTCACAAGAAACTGACCCTGATTAGCTGGCCACAGTCCTCATTTCTTGTTACGGGATGATTGAGCACATTCACTAATGCTCAAAATTATAAGTTATGAAGACAATGCTATTTGCTGGCACAATACAGGAGCAGGATCTTAAATCATAAAAATCACCCTAATGCTTTTATATCACTGGCAAGAACTGTTCTCCAATGTACATACAATATTCACCATCGTTACTACTATTACCTGATTTGGTTTTGGAAGACATTCTAATATACTGAGCATGAGTTTGGCATTGCCCTCTGGATCTCCTGGCATCTGGACACACAGGGCATCCACCAGCATATTGTACAAAGCATTGGTGAACAAAGGCTCTGGGAGCTCTCGGAGGTAGTCCTTTAGAAGACCTATAGAAAACAAATTGTAGAATATATACATCTAAGAATTTTCAATTACCTATGTTTTATATGGCATATATTGTATAACAGTATGTTTTTTCTTCTTAGAGTAGTTAGAAAGCCTAAAAATATAAAAAACATCCTTGTGCTTAATAACTTATATTATTATTATTATTGTTGCACTTTTTGAAATATATTTTATTGAAACTTGATAGAATTCATTCATTTATTAATATTAGAATTATTTTATTTCTATTATTTCTGTAAAAAAAATCTAATATGCAATTTAACCAACATTTAGCTGCACCAACATGTAAAACAGGCAGTATAGATGCTTTGTACAGCAGCTTTTCTAATGTGCTTAAGAACTGTCATTAACATTAAGGTTATTGGAACAGAAATTGGAAACAAGTAATTTCACTAGGCTTAGAAATTAAGCCGCAAGACATATGATGTTGTAGTCCTTGTTTCTCACACCAATGTACGGTTATAGCCAAATGCTCTCGTCAGAAAATCAAATTTAAAAATCACTTATTGCTCTCTAAAAATACATCTGATGGTGGAGCAAAATGGAGGGCATTTGATTCATGGTCCGTGCAGCCAGGTTTTCTGGAAAACAATTTCTTGGAGACTGGTTGCAAATTGTCTGATTTCTCTTTTTGGCTTTCAATTAATCTTGTAATGGCTTTTTTACATGTAGGATGGCTACATATGGACCATGGCAAACTGGATGGCAGACAGGAGATGAGAACATTGCAGGTTTAACAGGCAGATAATCAAGTTGTATGATATGTTATACCAAAAATGATACATGTACTGGTCAACATTTCTTCACAGTAACCACAGTTTCCAATTCATCACCGATGACCAAAAAGTGTTGCTAGCCATTTTCATAAATTTGTCCAGGTGAATTTATGGCAACTTTTATTTGGGTCTTTTCATTGTGACTAACTGGGGTAGGTTAAAATAAGAATGATCCAGGTAAAAGTTGAAAACTGTCATTTGGAATATTTTTGAATTTGTCTATAGGAGTCACTGTCTACACCATTTGCTTTACGTTTTCTGTTCCCTGCACTACAATACAGGGCTTGTTTACAAGGTGTGACAATGAATACAAACATACTATCAGCAGTTTTTTTTTATTTTAGTACAATGTGATATCTTGAACAAATGTGCACTTGTTAAAATTCATATTATCACTGTGTGACAGTTGTAACATGGAATACAATAGCACATATAAATAGCTTTTGCACTTTTTCGTTAGTTTTTCCAAAATTTGCCTGCCACAAGAGACTTCATGTGTTAGACTGTATCATTCAGTATGAAAAATTATTTACTTTATTAGCTCTTATGTTGTGTAATACAGAAGGCAAATTCTGTGTCTTGTACATGTACGCCTGACCTTTCAAACATCACATTCCGCTGTAAAAAGTATATATCAAATGTCTATACCCATACCCGTAGCCAAAGATTAAAAAAACGGGGGGGAGGGTCTTTTTCTGAAAGAGGACCTTTTACCATGAAACTGCTTAGATCAAATTTTGCCCAGAGCAGACCTTTTACTGGTAAAAAACCCTTGAATCTCCCTAGCTATGGCCCTGATACCATTAACCTCCATCTAAAAAAAATTCAAACACCTACCTGTAACTACATGAATATCCATCACATTATCAGGTGACAAATCTACCAAAAAAGGATTTTTCTCAAACTCCTCCCGAAGCTCTCCCTTCCGCCTAGCAGACCCGCACACCCTGTAGGTCCCAACAGTCTCCAGGCCCCTGCGGTCAATCTCCTCGATACATTTATGTACAATAATGGGCACCCTGAGTCCCGACTTCTCTCTACGGATCACAGACTCTAATGTAGCACCAAATAAAGCATTTCTGTGTATGGAAGGCGTGCGCTGCAGGGTGACCGCTGCTTCTTTGTACGACAATTCTAAATAAATCAAACCTTTGGGTTCCATTTTTAGGGCAAGTTTGCAAGTTGGGGCTCTTATTTTGTGCAAAAAATTGACTAGATTAATGGTGCCGGTGAAGCACAATTTGTGGCGGGACATGGGATCCCAATTGTACACAAGGCACGACAATTCCCAGGCATCTTCTAGGTCAATTTCAAACATCTCGTCCCAGTCAAAATTGATAGCACCTGTTCTAATCATTGTGCGGGCTTTATTCATCCTGTCGATTTCTAAAACACAGTACAAGTCTCTTAGGGCGGCCTTTGAAGACTTTAAACCATGCCCGCAGTATATGTGTATACTTAATAAGCCATCCAAGCCCACACAAGTCCGAGGCGAAAGTCTCATTTGTTTTCTTTCAACCTCTGGTCTGTACATCAAAAAATCCTCAATTCTGATTCTTAACGGCTTTCTAGAAAGCTGTAAATCATGTAGTCTTGAAGATAAGTGCATGGCTCTTGCTCTGTCCATAGTATCACTTACGACAGAGTCCGGGCTGAAATTTTGTTCAGCCATTTTTGGACCGCCATGTTGTGACACTGTGTGGTATATTGTGGAATACTTCTGCTCCTGCTTGAGGTCAAAGGAATTGTCCAGATTTGGAATCTGGTGAGGCGAAAGCAGAACGTCGGCAGGCGGTTTTCGTAGGATGATGTGAGGTTGTTGAGTAAATTTGCGATACAACATGGGCGAAAGTGTGGCAGTCCATGACATGTATTCACTGGACGAATACGAGTCGTGTCTCTCTTTGTGTTTGGCACTTGTGGCAGTGGGGTATGGTGGACCTGAAAGAAAACACAACATGTATTACTCAGTGTCAGATAAAAATTCTAAGGGATGCTTATTAGATGGAAATAACTGTCAAAATACAGTATTCTACAACATAAAGCAGGCATTTTATAGAGAAAAGACTACGTACATCAAGTCAAACATGAGCTTACATATAAATTAATGCAGTCCATATAACCAACTCTCTCCAATCTGATAATTGATTATTAACAACAGATTACATTTATTATATTGAATACTCAGCTTATTTGGCAACTGGTCAACACTAAACTGACAAAACCAATTAAAACTTGCATAATCAATTAAAACTGCATTGATTAGTTGCCAGGATGCATGATAATGAAAATTTGGACCCAACATCCCAAAGAGACAATCATGTACTTTAAGTTTTGCAAAACGGCTTAACAATTAATACTTGGTTTATTCTAATGCCTTTATAATTGCTGCCCAAGGTGTCAAACAAAAAACGTGCATTAATTGCTTCACCAACCTTCCAAGGTTATTATCATTAGGTTAACTATTATGCTTAATAAAAATAATGAATGATTATTAATATCAGTCCTCACCCCCTCCCCTCATCAAATAAATAAAATGATAAGTGACGATAATTTAATAAAGCAACTCTGCCCTTCATAATCTTGTACTGTTGCAGCCTGATGAAATAATCACATTTAAATATATCTCTTACTCAATATAAATCAAAGAGCTTATGGTTTCAAGAGGGTTAGGAGTCTTACGTAACCATACACAGCTGGTTTTCCATTAATTGTTTTTCTCAACCTCACCAGTATCAATGCTACCGTATTGATCTGTTCCCCCTATCTTAATAACAATACATGTAATCAAAGCCCAAATGAAATGCTCTTTACCAGGCTTAGATTAAAGTCAGGCTACAAAGCCGGGGTAGATTATCCCCCTCGTCTGATCCCATTAATATCTATGTGTTGTTTTATGTGTAATTTTGTGCTATCGCAAAACCCAGCTTCTCACTTGGGGCGGATTTTCAAGATAGACCAAACCGACCAATTTGCTGCATTAATACACTGCAGGAGCAAAAACCTGGCTTTCCTAGCAATCAATAGCTGTTTTCTTGCTTTTGGTGATAGGAAAATTTTCAATTCATTTATTTACAGCATGCTCCAGGAAAATTGCATTGTCCCTTATGGGACTGCCTATCATTTCATACCAGAGACCCGTCCGCCTTCCTTTCGCTGAAAGATCTTGACATTTTCAAGATGCAGTCATACTTGGCTCTTAATTGTCCCTAAGTTATTTGTCATGTTTTCCTAATACTAATAAACCCTGGTGGTTCTACTATAAATTATCTCATTAGAAACAACTCAAAAAACAATCAGATATAACACATCACCAGCCTTCAATACATTCATAGAATATAATGCCAGGAGTGAGCAATGGCATGTTCTATTCATAAATTCAATGAAAATCCCAATCGCTATTGGCTATTATATTTAGTAATTTCCCTTTTTAAATGTTTCTATTTTGGCATTATATACTGACTAAAGGATAAAACAGTCGACCAATTCGCACATGGCATGCCCTACGGATACTAACCTGGCATGCTTTGCAGACTCACACAAGGCATGTCTTACTTACTCAAACCTGGCATGCCCAACCTATCAAACTTGGCATCCACTACTCACTCACAGCTGACATGGTTCACCAACCTATGCCATGCATGTCCAACTGGGTGGAATGGGTAATGTCTAACACCAATTTTACAATATAAAAAAAAAAACAGCATGGATTGTTAAGCCTGCTTAACTGAAGTAGCTGATTACAACTAGCAAAAGCTCTCAAAGAACTTTTAACAGGAGATAAGAGAACTTGAATGTTTTTGACTTATCAAAGGTGGTTATGGGAAACACTGAGTAAACTTGGTATCAAAACAATTCCATAAAAATGAGGTACAGTTGGCAACCTTTCAGATTCTATGTAAAATGCAACTTGTTCAATTAAGAGTATTAGAAGTCTTCGCAGTGACTGTCTATTACAATTCATTTTGTGCATCTGAGCTCTGGCACCATTTGCTGACTCAAACAACCTCGTTCCAAGCTGACATGTTCCTGGCACGTTCCACCGCCTCTAATGCTCCGTGCTTCACTGACTTCCACCTGTCATTCTCCAACTATTCTCCAACTATTGCCAAATCCTTCCAAATTAAACCTGCCGAGTTTCCTTGTACATGACAGTGATGTTCTCCTTTACAAGACAATGAAGAATGGCAATTTTAGCCTATATCCTACAGCTTTTGAGATTAAAATTGAATCAATAAAGTTGAATAAAAGGCATAACTAATAAATCTCAGCTGTAGCTCCCAGGCCTCTGAGCTGAAACTTCTTTTAGATCTGGATAACAATGGCGCATAAATAATAATGACAGATCCATTTTTTGTTCTTAAACTGATAGCCTAATTACAGTGACAAAAAACTGCATTATTATCATGAAAGATTCTCTGGGCATACTTCACAGTGGAAGTTTGAGAAATTAGAATGGCTTCTGACCTTGATAAAATTGCATTGACATTTAGGAGACCTTTTATCTGCTGTATTATTGAAAACATACATCAATGCCAGAGAGAGAATCCTAACAGGAGTTTCTATAGTCTGAGAGACGTGGGTTGCTCCATTATTATGGCTCCATGTCCTAGACTAGTCACTATCATATACATGTGCATCTATTGTCCATAATAATTGTTATAGATTATTACTGGACATTTTTGCTTTCTCTTTATACACAACTCTTATTCAATTAGGATTCTCCTCCTAAAGTGCCATACCTTTTGACTTAAGCATTTTTTTCTTTGTACACTATAATATACAGTATGAAAATACATCTTAATAAAAAAAACATCCATTTACAAAATACATTATATATATATATATATATATATATATATATATATATATATATATATATATATATATATATATACATTCGGACATTCATGCTTTATCTTTACCTGCAGTTAACATTTTGGATGGTACTGGACATTTTAGATGGACATTTGCTACCTCCTCCCCCGTTTCCCCCCCCCTCTCCTAACCCCCTATGCCTTACTCCAATGCATCTCTGATTCTTAATAATCTTGCAGTGGCAATCAAATATGAATAGTTCATTACACAATTCCTGGAAGTCCAGTAATGCCTTTAGTTATCTTTTAACACTATCAAATGTACCACACTCATTAAGTGCACTTAAAATTCTGAAATGCTGGCTGAAATATGAATTCCAGATTGAACAACAAAGTAATAAAAATCAGACCTCCGGATCTGCCAAGAGCTCTTTTATCTGTTGATGGAAGGGTTGATTAAATAGTTAAATTGCAAAACCTTTGCTTTAGGGATTCTTTTTTTTTTACCAAGCTTTTGATATGAAATAAGATATGGTAATGCAAATCACTAAAATGGATGTCGAAGATTTAGCAAAATCCTCATTAATAGTGGTTATAGGAATATCTGTTTAATTCCCCCCCAAAATTCCATGTATGGCAAATCACAGCATTAAAAATACAACTGTAATGACTTTTATTTGGTTTTTACAAATGATATTCATTGGCTTGTGTCTGAAAAAGAACCACACAAGCTAAGTACTTTTGATTTTAAAATAAAATCCCAATGTAGATTTACAAAAAGATTTGCCTTCTTGATGATTTTCTTTTTTATAATTATTGTAATCTTCAAGTCAGATCAGCACATTTCCAGGTGCCATATTCAATTTCTGAATCAAGTTGACAGATCTGAGCAATGGACCTGTCAAAAAAAACTGGTGTACTGTTATAAATTGCAGACAGACCATGAGACATGCTAATTTATGCATATATCCCATCCATAGTGCATCCTTTCATTCTTTTTCCTAGCAATTTTCTAAATATATAAAATAAAAATAGCAACTGCCTTTGGTGTATCAATACTAAGTCTTTCATAACTACTCTTGGTCATCAATAACTCAGACAAACTATCACAACTGTATTAATGTGGCATTGCTAAAAACCCAAGGCATTGTTGACCGAATACATCACTCTTCTAACAGCAGAGACATATGTAAATATATTAATTACATTAGAAGTGCCAACAGGAACAAGAATGTATGCTGAAAACATCACTCGGGGTGTGAATTGTAAGAGTTTTCAAGACATGATATAGATTTTGCTGAGAGCATTTTCTGAGCATTTTCATGTGTATTTTCCACGAGTTCTTTCTGCATGCTGTATAACAGAGCCAGTATACACCCACTGCCAAACTGATACAATTATTGTGGTCAATATAAAGCAGCCATTTCCCTTTACTCGCAGCCGCTTTCCTGCTTTCCACAATTCAACTTAATTGTACCCAGTGACCTGTGAAGAATACGCAAGACAGAATATTAATCGTGTCAAGTTTAAAAAAAAGAGAGCTTTCACAGTAAACGGTAATTACTTTCTCTGAAGAACAATGACCTGGAATGATCAAAGGCCTGCCAGAGACAGCTAGGCAGTTAGTTACACACAGTGCATCAAACAACAACTAAATGTTTCTCAATATTATTACTTGTTGTCCCCACAGAATCCACAGTGTGTGCATGTCCCCAGAAATATACTAAAATATTCGCTTCAAGTTCAAAGCCAAATATGCAAACATGAATTCTGCGTTTCCTGGCTCTCATTTCACACTGAATCTTCATTTAAAAGATTAACTAATAATCCAGTTGATTGTACACAGGAGGACGCATTTATCAGGAAAGGGAATAGAAAGATCCCTGTCAGTCCCTTTGTTACCTTACTCTGAGTTAATAAAAGAGTAATGTTTTTTCAGGTGATTAGGTTTTTTTTCTTTAATTATAAGTACCAAGCACTGTAAACAACTGAAACATAGCAGCAAACAGAAAGAAACCTTTAGGATGAAAGAGAATTTTTCATAGGTTTGTAAACCAATGTTATCATCAAAAAAGCCCAAATACAAATTCAACAATAGCTATCATTCAATAAGCTCTTAAAAGC